ACATTCATTGTAACTCCAACTGGAATATAGCGCGCTACAACAGAATGTAGCCACAGTGTAGGCTACACTTAAAGTAACTATTCTCAACATTAATGTTACGTAACAGGATAAGATGTGACCTTGAATGCAAAAACAATCTCACATGTAGGCATGTATATATATTTAAACAATCGCTTTACTAGTATTATTAGTAAACTTGCTCACGCTATTCGTGGATACGATAAAAACGCACGTGTCGCCAAATATCTAGATAATACTCATATCTATCACAAACTGTACTTGGAATACAAGATAACACCGATTTCTTTTCCGAAGCCATCTAATTAATGCACGGAGTACAGGCGCGACATTTATGAGTCACAAATTAAGAGGCGTTAACTACAATGAGTGGCGAAACTTTTCGGTTAGCTGTACACGTGAGGCGGTTGGCAACCACTTCGGATTCAAACACGCGACAACGACGCACGAATCTCTATTACAAAGAATATTTTGCATCAAACGCAACGCTCAATACACTTCGGACTTTGTTCGTACAATGCGACATTATCTTGCGGCAAATATGTAATGCAATTTGCATCTTCAGGCAATAAGGAAACCTGGTTATTATACATCGTATGTAAGTCTGTTATTTTGCATTTGAGCATGATCGAAGCCACATTATTGTTTGGGACAAATAATCATCTATACATATAAATCTTTATGGGAACATAGAAATAGTTAATTCCCACGTCTCAAACAGCTCATCCAATCAAATAAACATTTTCCTTTGAGAGTGCCCAGAGTTAGTCATCACATCAAAGATTTTTCTAGAAAACCTAACCTCGGAATCAAAGGACTTCAAGGCCGGAAGCCGCGCTCTGTACGTCACCAAAGTGGCTATTTATTTGGTAAATTGGAATTAATCTAACAGTGCAGACGACGGTATGAGCAAATAGGGATCTACTATATTGAGTAGAATGGAATCAACTGCTTATTTTCTGATACAAGAACGTGATGAGTCCTAAAATAAATTATTCTGTAGGCGTACTCTTTGCTATGAATAAACATAACTTCATGCGAAGTTTATTTTTTCCCTTTTGGGTCCAAAAATGACGTAACAGTACAAACACGTGCAAACTACTGTTCCCTCGGCGCGCAGTGATAAGCGTAACGACGATGACGCATTATAAATAAAAGCAAATCTGTCTGGCTACAGCGATAATGAAGTAAGCCAGCTCAGTCGTAGTATTTGATACGTGATTGCCCAATGTCCTTCACGGGACGTAGCTTTGATTTGAGGCGTGTATCCTACACAACATTAGCTGTTCTCCGGATAATAACTGAATGTAATATGTACAGACATGAACAATTATTATGGACACCTGTATTAAATATTTAGGTATATTTTTGCACAATATCTTATCTCATCAATTTTAATAAACAGCCAGTGGAAAGCCACATCGCGATGCTTTGTGTATATTCTGTCGAATACTGAATACACAATAGGCTTTTTAAGCATATCACGCTTGGCCTAAAGCCAGGATAATACCATTGTAATATGTTATACAACGTTGTTATGCCATCCTGGTCTACGGCCCATATAGAATCGAGTATATCCTTAATCTAGCTTCTAAGTGTCCGGTCTTTCTAACCAAACAATAGCTTGGGCTTGTTCTTAACCCAAAACGAGCTACATACTTTGTAAATCTGCCACAGCAATCAAAACTACGTAAGTGCTAATCCGATAAATGTATGTGTACTATAGATACTATGTTTTGTTGTGGAAAATTCCGATATTTTCCCTCAATTCTTAGGACTGTAGCAATTCTCGACAACACGAGGCTCGAAGAACTTAGTAAATATTTGACAAACGCAAAGCACTGGGTTAGGAACTGAAATAATTTCATTGTGTAAACGCAATGTATCGGTCACGCCTCGTTACGTCACAGTAGAAGTTTTGCAATTAATGTAAACACACATTGAGGCCATGAATGGAAATGGCAATTAAAACGGTATGGATTAAACAGTGTTAAAGGTTGCGAGCCGTTTCGATGAATCGCTTTCATTGGATTATGTTCAAACTTGGTTGAAATCCCATTACCGAGTCATGAACTGGATCTGTTTGTGAAAACGTCAAGCTAGCCTTGTGACAGGCACGAAGCAGTAGGCGGGTTAGGTATATAGGATTACGGCCATTACAGGCGTGACAGAAATTTGACGGTAATCTACGTAGAAAATAATATGTTCGCAGAGGTTGTATTCCAGTCAATAAATCTTAGAATATAATGGATAATTGTCTGCGGGTAAATAAGGAAACTCAATACTCAATGCCGAGTGCTGGTTCGGTTCACTTGCACTTAGTTTGAGCATAGATACGTACAAGTAGAACACGGTTCTATCTCGCCCGTTTAACTCCCCGCTCGTGTCTTCAACACATTATCTCTGCGAGGTGCAGAGAGCATTCAGTTTATGGCGCAACCTTTATGTGCTGGTTGTACTTTATCTAAAAACTGTTAGATTATGGCCACCAATAAAGGAATAACGTGGCCATTCGTAAAACAATAAAACAATATGCGAATAAAATAAATTAGTATCCAGAGTGTATCGGAGTGCTTACTGATAAAACATATTGGCACTTTTATCAGTTTTTACAAACACACCACTAAAGCCTGGAAAAGTTATAATAAAACCAAACATTGAACCAGAAATCAGACGTCATTTGTAAAAATGAGAACATTTATCTTGTCTGTGATCCATTAAAGTTTTAATTAATAACTCGTGTTTTAAAAATTGCAATATCGAATACTTATTTTTTTCATATTTACTTTTTAGCGAATATATTATGAAATTAGGTTTTGGCGTTCGATATCGGTAGCAAAGTTGGTAGTTATAAAAGAGTAAAACGGACCCATAAATTCATAAAAGCCACGTCAATTATAACCACGTCACCATTATCGTATCATACTGTGAGTCCAATTGGGACTTTATATCTACACAAACATCTATCATTAAATTTTAGAAATGTATAACGTCATAAATGTTATGTTCGCTTACGTGGGCAGCGAAACAAACAAACAGATCGAATACAATGCTCTAATTATTTCATAATGTCTTCGCACTTCATACGGCATTATCATAATCATCTACGACAATATTACGTTGGAAATCTCTAGACAGTGTCCGTATAAATTGTATTGATAAGTCTGGTGGAAGGATTCCCTTGACCTAATTTAAGTAGACTAACTTCACAAGGCTCAAAGGTCACTAAAATTTTCCACCAAATCTTGTAGACAACTAGTTATATGATATTTGTTACTAAGAACAGGGTCCAATCCGTCATTCTCGACCAAAAACACTTTTTTTTGTCAATCAATGCGAGCCCTCTTAAATCAAGAAGGACCGGTTTTCTGTATTATTTAACCTTCTATTTATATGTTTTTAGTACATTACATAACAAACTACAATTTTTGCAATGTCCTCTCGAGGTCTTGACCATGGATACTATAGGCAAGGTGATTAAAACTAGTTTGTAAACATAACAAAACTAATCAAGTAAATGTTTAAATTGGGCAAAAAATACGGTTCCTCAATAACTGTAATATGGCTTATTTTCCCTAAGGAATGTGCTGTGTGCTTACAGAAAAATACCCACTTTTGGCAGTTAAGTTATTGACCCTGTTTCAACACTTCTAAGCTTAAGACATTCTTTTTCTGTGGAGTATGAGCCAAACCAGCTTAGCTGATGAGTTTGAATTTGCGGATAATTTGACGTATCTTCCAAAGTATCATTAGTCTTTTATCTCAAGAGTTATTTCAAAATATTAACCAGTCAATTTTAGCAAGTAAAGTGCTCTTTTGTAGTTCACACAATGTTCAGTATCCATATTAGATTATAGAGATAATGTTGCAATAACCTGTTTATCTAAGTTATCGTGTGCCTTATCTAAGTCACCAGTTTACTCTACTCCAAACAATATAGATCTAAACCTTATTCAATATTATTATTACGGCACATTTACTACAAATTCTGCAAAAACCGTGTTGGTATTTTCCATATAGGTACCTACCTAAGCATATACTTGTACAATTAAATATTATTTTTAGACACTAAATTAAATGGGTTGTATGGCTTATACATAGTTTTTTAGCTTTTATATGTGTAAACGTGATTGAAGATATCATTATAATATGATACGATATCACTTAATTGTAGAATTATTGTTGTACGGTCGCCATCTTCACCGTTGTGCGTCATTGAAGTTACGTTAAGGCATGTCAATGTATTCGCAACAAAAAAGGTAATGAACACTTCACAGCATAGTACGTCTTATTGTGTGTATCGTAAAGCGTATTGTAGCGTAATCTTTTTATTCTGGCAACGAACCGCCCAATTTCCGAATGCACGTCTGAATTAGAAGAGTCAACGTGAATGACTCACAAAATCCCTTAATAAACAGTTGTATTATGTTTTAACGTTATTTCTACGGTTCCATGGCGATACCAGCACCGGTTGTACGTCACTTGACCTTTAAACTTGAAAATTTATGAAGCATTTAAAATTAATCCCTCAATTAAATTTTAATCTAGCTAAGCTATTTACGCGTAAGAACAGAATACATAATTATACCGTGCGGTTTCGTTATACTACCTATGTTGATTTGATAATAATAAGACAGGTCTAACTAGAAGAAAAACGAAAAAAAATCCATAAATATATGAATGAATAATAAGCCTCTCCAGGTGTAAATGAATAAAGGAACATTTTTACGGCAGTCGACGGAACCCTAATAAATAGACTCGTCCCCTCTGAGCCAAGAAATACTTGCAAGAATGCGTCGGTGTTCGGACACACGGCGCGCTTCCGAAAGCACTTTCGCCTACATTCGGTATCGCTCGGCAGTCTCCGCACCCCACAGCTGACTGGGGCAACGTGGGAGCGAGAGGAGCATGCGCGGCCCGCACGCGCGTGACAAGGACCGCGCACCGCGCAACTCGCAGCGCCGCCATTTAGTTCTTTTCAGTGCTCGGCCCCCGTCGTAGTGACAGTGTATTTCTTTTATCACTAAGCGCTGAGCTTATTCGTTTTAATTGTGAAATTCATATAAAAATTTGTTTACAAATGTTTGGAAACGTGTAATTTGTGAATGTGCAATGGTGTTAACGTTATACAGGTGAAAATACACGTCGTTCGTTTGAGTATGGCTGGCTTCATCGCATCTGTTGTCAACATCAAATAACGTGGATTATGCAAGTTGGAGTAAAATGTTGTCGAGTGTTAGGTGAATAATGTGTTTTATTATGGTTAACGCGTCCACAGCTGTTTGTGTGTGTTAGTTGTAATTTCAAGTGGCCGTGATAGGTATCAGCACCGACAGTCGGCGAGATACCTTCGACAGACGGCAGAATATTGCATGGAAGCACGTACGTAGTACAAGTTAGTGAAAAAGACGAACAGTGCACGCGGTGCAATTACATTATCTTTAATTACAATACATGAAGCGAGTGTGACAATAAAGATAGAATAAACCGTACATAATCCGTCGTGTTTTCACAATGAAAACTTACACACGGCGGCCCGCTAGTTAGTTTACATTCGACTATAATGTTAGTAATAAAACAAACAATAAGTAAATTACACAGCATTGTCTCAGTTAAAAGTGCTTTGAGTTGGAAACGCCATTAGAGTATTAGGTAATTTATTTAGGGAAGTGTTCTACTTCTGCATTTAAGTACAGTAACTTGATTACCGTACTGTTTGAAACCTTGAAAACTAGGTCTAGGCGGGCAACTATTTATTACACTAACATGCAATGTAACAGTATCGAAACCGGAGTCTGTTATAAATGTGATAGCACCGTTATATGCCAATTTATCGAAAACAAAGCATCGTCTGTTTCATTACCATAATGTAGGTAATTTCAAGTTTACTGCATTTAAACAATAGACAGATTTTCCACAATAGCAAAGTAATTTAAAAATCTATATACATACTTGGACATAAATAAGTAAACAGAATGACGATTACATTAACCTGTTCATTCAAGTGAATATCCTTTGATGGCAGCACATAGAGTAGGAGCACAATGACGATAGTATAACCACACAATAAACAAGAGGCGAGGAACTTAACAAACAATTCTCTATTGTTACAGTAAATAAGACTATGAGGGTAGTAATATAATGCAGCGGCTGCACAAAATATTAGTGCTGGCAATAGTTTGCGCAGCAGTGAGGGCACAGGAGTGTCCCTCGGCCTGCACCTGCAACAGCACCCGCGTGGCGTGCGACACTGCTGCAGCCCCGCAGGACAGACTAGGCCGCGGCCTGTTCGCGCCCTTCGGCACCCTCCTGCAGGAAATCTCCTGGACTAACTCCAAAACAAACACTCTCGAAATAGACGTATTTGACGGACTCAACGACTTGGAGTACATCGACTTGAGCAGAAACGAAATTAAAAGAACTGAGCACGGCCAGTTTGCACGACTGAGCAGGTTAAAGTACCTCAACCTGTCGCGGAACTTCATCGACGATATTCCCCGGTTCACCTTCGCCGATTTAGAAAATCTAGAGGTCCTAGATGTGTCCCACAACCGGCTCCACGTTATACCATTCCAGGTCTTCGGGCCGATGATCAAACTCCAATATTTGGATATATCGCATAATAAAATAGCTACTTTCTTAGATTACTATTTTAATCCTAATAGACAACTGAAAGCACTGTTCCTAAATAATAATAGCCTAGTCAAAATTACGTCTAATGCTCTAGTCAACCTGAAGGAGTTGGAGACACTGGACATCTCTAGCAATAAGTTAGACTACATACCCAAGTCTCTATTCGATAACTTTGAACAACTGAGAGAGCTCAATTTAAGCTTCAACCAATTCCAGAACATATCACAAGATGTTTATAAGAATCTTAAGAACTTAAGGTGGCTAAGCATGGGCGGCAACCGGCTGCGGACCCTGCCGCCCACTCTCTTCCAGCATAACGAAAATCTTAAAACGATCTACCTCGATCACACTGAACTAACAGTTATACAAAACACTAACTTCAAAGGCTTAAGTACTCTACAGAAATTATATATAAGAAATAACGAATTTTTGCGAGAGATAGAAACATTCGTATTTCAAGACACGCTGACCATCACGCACTTGGACCTCAGTTCTAACGCACTGCTGTCGTTACCCAAGTCATTGACAATGTTGAACGACCTGGAAGAGTTGAAGCTGAGCAACAACCCGTGGGCGTGTGACTGTCGGATGGCCTGGTTCGCCGGTTGGGCGGAGAAGAAAAAAGACATCATAAAGTCCGACTTAAGTTGTCCGCTCACCTACCCCAACGACATGATAAGAATATTAAACCACACTAACTGCAAGCCTCCTACTCTGATATCTAGTAGTCCGCTGACTCTGTACAGGTTGCAGAAGGACGCTCTGCTAGAGTGTAAATTTTCGGGTAATCCGATGCCGTCCATAACTTGGATCACACCGACAAGGATGGTATTCCACTGGAACCCTGAGCCACTTATCCCAGATATATTCCAAAAGCATGGCGTTGCACACGATCAGTATTACCGGCCCATAGATAATGCTAAATCGAGAGTGAGAGTATTGGATGATGGCTCGCTTTTCATAGGAGATATACATAGAGAAGACTGTGGAACTTACTTATGCTTTGCAACGAACCCCTCGGCTAACCTGACAGCAGAGGTGGTACTCAACATAGATCCCATGACTATGTTCGAGATTAAAATGTATAGTTTACTATGTGGCGCGATATGTGCCGCTGGATTCTTAGGACTTACACTACTGGTGCAATTTTTGCGCTACATATTTTTCAGGTGAGTTTATTTATAGTCAGAGTTAAAGTTAGTACCTAGGCGAGTGGTATCTGTCTAACGATGTATTGAATATTTATTTTCAGATTCCGTCTGATGGAGACATGCTGCAGCTGCTGCACGTGCGTGAGCCGCGACGCGCCGCGCTCCAGGCAGATATTTAGCATGCTGGACAACATCGAACAGTACAAGAGGCAACAGTTGGAAAAACTACGGGAAAATTACGCGGTTCAAGTGAGTATCATTTACTTATTACTTACGTAATCACGTGCGTAAGGTGAACTTATTCTAACCTGTTAACGTTCTTGCAGGTTCATCGCATTAAAGAAAACTGTACACAACAAATGGACTGGATACAGAACAGTTACTCCACACAAGCAAGTCATTTACGAAATATTAGAGACATCGGCAGCAACCACCTGAGTGCAATGAGAGACCAGTACTATGACCAGGTATTAACATAATACTTTTTATACAACTATTTGTAACAGTATATCCGCGTTCGGTATAGTCGTGAACAATTATAGAATCAACTAATATATAAATTGTTGATCGCACAGGTGAAGCGCGTCCGCGAGTACTCCACGAGCCAGTTGAACTGGGTGCGAGAGAACTACGTGTTCCAGAGGAACAAAATAAGGAAATTCAGCGCGCACCAGGTACTGCGGCTCCGGGAGTCGTACAAGTACCAGCAGCAGACACTCAACAAAGTGCTCGAGAACCTGCCCAGCCTGTACTTCGAGAACTGTCGGAGTGGATCCTGTGGCAGGAGTGACTCTATGGCCTTCGACCCCGACGTTGAGGTCATCGACATGTACCTCAAGACGAAGATTGAGAAACTTTCGAGTCTTCCTAATCCAATCTTCGATGAGGAGAGCAAGATATCCGTGTACTACACACCGACCGAGAGGTCGGTAAACTCCAGGAGAAACTCTCCCATTCCTGAGGGCATCCATATCAACATGATAGAGAAAGGTCCACCTCGGCTGCTGGCCATGATCAAGCCGTTGCAGACGGAGCCACCGCCGACACTGGAGTCGCCAACTCCACCGGGCTCACCGTCGCCGACGACGTCGAAGGCGGCCATGTATCCCTGGCCCATAAAGTACAAGAACGAGCGTAGCGACCGGACCGAACGCGGCGATCGAAGTGAACGCGGTGACCGGAGTGAACGCGGTGCCCGGAGTGAACGCGGTGCCCGGAGTGAACGTAGCGACCGAAGCGAACGCGGCGACCGGAGCGAGCGCGTCGAGCGGGGTGAGCGAAGCGAATCGCGCGACGCGGAGCCGAAGCCAGCGAGCGAGCCGCTGCTGGGGCGCGGCGCGGTGACGTTCGAGCGCGGGCGGCGGCGCGTGACGCTGCCGACGAGCGCGAGCTCGCCGGAGCTGGGCGCGGCCGAGGCGGCGGAGGCGGCGCACAGCGCGGCGCGCGTGCTGCTGGCGGTGGAGCTGGGCGCGCCGGACGGCGGGGGGCGGCCCTTGTAGTACCGGCTGCTGACGCGCGTGTACAAGGTGTACGCCGTGTCGGGGCGAGGCCTGGCGCGCCGGCCGGAGCCCGCCGTGCGACTCTGTGATTTGAGCGGCGGCGAGCATTCCTACGTCTGATGGTGTTCGGGAGCGGAGCATGTCTTGCCGGAATGTTTCCAATGTCAATAATATTGTAAGGTTAGCATAGTGTGAAGGGACCGTTCGGGATGGCTCGGGCGTCGTCGCCGCCGCCGATGCCGCTTGTACTTCTAAGTAAGCTGTGATAGACTAGATTTGAATTTAGCGACAATTTAATTTCGTACTGTCTCTAGTGGTAGGCGATAAGGAGTATACTGAAACGATCTGTTCTTAATCGTTCGTAGTAGTGAATCGAATGAACCTGTTTAATTAAGCATTCTGTGGGTATTAGAACTTGTAAATAACTTCAGTTTTTTTTTCAATCATTTTCCATTTTGATGTATTTTTAGGGTAAACTCTTAGAGTTATGCATTTTATATTGTTCAACTTAAAGTGAGGTATAAGAAGTTGTTACTGTCCTTGTTGTAATTGTTGCGCGGTCATTGTACTCTGGTGTGGAGGCTCGCGGAGGCCGGGGCCTCTCGTCATGCTGCACTACAGTGCACCTCTCACACTTCCTCTCTACGTCTCAACAACCTCTAACTGTAACTATGCATTATCATATTTATATATATTTTGTGACTGTCCTACAGAATGTACAGCAGAGTCTTGCAGTGATATGCCAAAATACAATCCAGCAATGATTATATTATATGACGTTTCTATTATAAATATACAAATATTGTTGAAAATTTTCTAAATATATAAACAAGAGTAAACAGCTAATCATGGAGAATAAATTATTTTTCAATGTACACTATGGTATTATTTAATTTTTTGTGACACTTAGAGGAACCCACAGTTCTGATTGCACAAGTTATTAAAAAATAATCTCTTGAACAAAATTAATAACCTATGTTGATCCAAAATCTCTGGGTCAAGTTTAGTTTTTCACTGAAACTGAGTCCACAAATATCGGATTGAGATGGTTATTAATTTCAACCCCAAGTCTACAATTTGATGAATATTTATTACAAACATTTTAAGGTTATATTGTTTTTACTACAAACGATTTGATAGTCGGGAAAGTAGACAAGAAAATTCTACTCATACATAAATAATAGAAATGTGATATTTAGAGTTAAAGTTCGAATTTTCACTATCTTAAAACTTCTTTTCAAACACGATCTCATGCTACACCTGTCATGATGGGTATCCATAATGAAATAAATTATATTCATGTACTTGGTAAAGGCCAATGACCTTAGAAGCATATAAAACAAAATGGTACCGAAACATGTACTAATTGAAAGAAGCCGTACAAATAAAACACTTTGTTTTGATTTCAAAGTTTATTTGGCACGACGTTTGTTGCACAACAATAGGATTCCAATGTTTTCACTATATTGATATATAGACGGACACACGATATAACAGACTGGGCGTGAAGACGTAGAATAAATTCAACAAATATTGTACCTAAAACCACGAGATACTACTGCACAAAACGATGACAAATTAAAACTTAATACATCGATTATACCAAAAAAACGTAGTAGCCGATTTTCCCTGCATACACTAAAAACTAAATAAAGAAAACAATATAGTCTACATAATTAAAATAAAAATGCATTCGTAGCTTCTCGACGCGCAACGCAAATGTAAAAAAAAATATAATTTTATTAAATTACTAGAGTAATTAATAGTATGACCTATGCATATAAATACGGAACGTAAATAAGTATTTATCGATATAAGAGTCTAAAGATTCGGTTAAAACTATCTTAACGCACTTGGTGCAATTAAATTAATAGATTTTAGGATGTATATTCCCAAATATTTTAGATCTTTCTAACTCTTACTATATTCGTCAATATTAAAAAATATTTTAGAATTCAAAAATTATCTATTTAAAATTGTAAGCCGAGTATTATCCAAATTTAATATTTCAAAATAGAATTCTTGTTAATAAAAATATCGCTTGCTTAGTATCTAAATAAGTAAAAGTTTTCATGTGAATATCATGAAACCTGAGCGGGTACATCGGATACCACGGTGGACGCATCAAATAACACGACGTCAGCCATTTTACTTTAATATGGATATTCTAATATATTAGCTGCATAACAATCATTATTATTATTATAATATAAGGCGGTGAAACAAACGCCATTTCTATGTAAAACAAGTTTTTGCTAATATGGGCTTGAAACATTGTTCGTTCAAACTATTAGCTTGGATTTTTAAATTATACTACTATTACTGGCATCTTACAGAATGCATGATAATGTTTATAAAGAGAGAGTTGATTCCCATCCATGAGAAAGTTGATAATCAGATTATGAGTCAAAACGAAAAAAATATTGCCATTGTTTAATATTTTTCCTAGTATGAATAGCAGTGACTAGATTTTAGATAGATTCATAGTTCCGTAGAGCTTTTAGTCATTGTTAAGATTAAATTCATAGTCAGACCCTGATGTATTAGTGTTGTCTGATGTAACCTGGCCATTGAATATCTAAAAATGCTTGGGTATTCAGGCGAATATTTAAATTAGCTTATTGAAAAATAACTCTTAGAAGCTTAGTAATATCAAAAAGTTATGCTTAATATCTGTAAGACTAGTAATTAAAAGGATATTACTGCTATATTACTCTCCAAAAATGTTCTTTAGGTGTTTAAAATTTCGCTTCTATAATAAATCAGCGCACATATAGTTTGTTGTTTTAAAAATAGTAATGAAATAGAATCCAAATTTATAAAACTTAATCAAATTCCGAACGTAGGAAGCCTAACAACAAACAATTAGAAAAATGAAAAATAAAAGAATAAAGACCTCGCAAAGAAAGGCATCTGAAAATCCTCATAAACCGCTGCAATATCCTTAACCAAAGAGACCAAACTGTTGTGACAAAGAACTCAAGTGACACCAAACAGCCCACTTACCTTGGCAGCAGTTCTGTTCCAGATGACCACCTTGTGCCCAGAGTTAAGCAGATTCTTCACCACTCCACTGCCCATGATGCCCAGGCCAAGGAAACCAAACTTCATCTGGCTGGCTTGGATGTTCTTCTCCAGGAGAGTCTCTGACACATTCTCCAAGTCCAACGGCGGAGTGTCCTGCAGAAAGATGAAGGTTCAAGTTAATATTGGGCACTTCTTTGTCTCCTGGCTTTGTCCTTATTATTTGGGAATGGAAAAGTAGAATACAAAACAAAATATCAACCCCATCTCTTGCCACGGGTGCGCAATTTGACACGTACGAGCCGACTAAGGGTCAACTTATTTAACAGAAGTCAGACAGCAGCGTTCTTTTATAAACCCGATGCCAAACATCCCTGCTAAGCCCAGAATACAGTTACTCCCTTTTTTCTAGAGGACTCTCTTTACTAAAAGTGGTAAGTAGACTATGCCGGTAAGATAGATGTTAATTAACTGAGGAATAAAATTGTTGCTGTCGCTGTCTTATACAAACATTCTGACGCGACAGCATCATAAAATTATTTCCCAGATAACTTTAATATAACCATTGAAAAATCAGCCCTTAGTCTGGCAACCCGAGCCTATGGCGCGTAGCGTTCCGCGCGCGCTTCAAAGAGTCAATAGACCACCACAGACGGGGCCCTATAGGGCTGATGTTCAGCCGGGGTTGTAGGTTAAGCGCAATGAGTCACCGCGACCTCGGCCCAGAGCAGGCGAAGGAACGGGGGGAATTTTTAGTCAGTAAGAGTCTGACTGTCTCTCTCGCCTTACCCTGGGCGGGAGCAGTCATTTGACGATTTTCCCCTGAAAAAAAGTCTGTTTGGCAAACAGACTAGTACTTACTAAAACTTGTGCTTTCTCTAATGTTGATATTTATACATTATTGATATTAGAGGTTGGAATTATTGTTTCTTGGTTATAGAATTGTACTTAATGTATATTCAACTACATGGGACAGTTATGAACTGCTGAAACCTGGGTGTCACACATAATAAACTATGTGTCATGGTCGACTTCTTCAGGGATGGAAATGCGTTACAATTATGCCTTGCGTTTATCCATACTATAGTAATACCTATTATAAAGCTGAAGAGTTTGTTTGTTTACACGCTTATCTCAGGAACGACTGGTTCAAATTGAATAAACTTTTTGTGTTTAATAGATCATTGATTGAGGAAGACTTTAGGCTATGAAACATCACGCTAAGATCTGTAGGAGCCGAGCAGCGGGTGAAAAAGTAGTAAGAGTAGCTAGTGAATAGATCTAAATTATTTAAGGAAACTTCAATACATGTACTGACTTTACAACAAATAATTATCAAAAGGGGTGTGGTCGCAATGACACACTGTTTCTGTTAATAACCAGTCCAACTAGGTAAACAAAATAAAGTAAATAAGTTGCTGATTTATATAAAAAAATTGACACAATAAAAGTTCAATGACCTTTTCAAATATTATATTAAAACCATACATTTCTTTTTGAATGTATCACTTTATAAACATGAGTAATAATTTATATAGGTATAACTTAATTTACCTATCTGTTGCACTACAAGGGAGCGCTAGAAAAATTCTAATAAACACGTGAAATGTAAGAGAGCAATGAGTCATTGTAAAAAAAAAACAGAAATTATTATAGGCTTCGTAGGAGAATTTCAATTTCGAAAATTATAATCCTTAATGTTATTGTCCCCAATCAATAGTATAGTATGACAGTTAAGTAATAATAATTATTTCATAACAAAATATTTCCATTGTAATCATTACACCTGATAAAACATTGAATAAAAGGAGAAACCAACACTTAACACAAACCCTGTGTGATGGAAGATACTAATTATCTACCATAAAATAAAGGTAAAAATGTTATACATTTATTGCCTAAAAGGGAAAATTGTATTCCAACTTGACAGAAGAGACGTTACTAAAAATGATAATATGATGGGTTTAAGAGTGGGAGAGCAAAAGTTCGGCACGAATGGGTCGGCTCGACCGAAGTGATACCACGGCCTCACAGAAAACCGGCGTGAAAACCCTACACAGTTAGTGGAAAATAATCGCATCACTTCTCCCGTCCAGAGTAAGGCGAGAGAAAGTGTCAGACCCTGACTGACTAAAAACCCCCCAGTTCCTTATCCTGTTTTAGTCCGAGGCAGGCCACATTGCGCTTACCCCGCAGCCCCGTCTGAACATCAGCCCTACAGTCAACCCAATCCTGCAAACCCCCTCATCATTTCTCTTCAATCCCGAAATCTCCAAAAGGCCTGCAAGTCGCTCGTTACTCGTAACATGGACGCCGATTGCTTACTATCGGGTAATAATTGGGCTTGTTTGCCCCTATATCACATAAAAAAAACTGTTTGAGGTTTTTTTTATAATCTGGTTTCCTAGATTCTTGTTCTCTCTGCTTGGGGATTAGTCGTGTTTTATATCCCTATAGGATATAGTACATAGGATGCAAAAGTAAAAAAAATTAAGGCCGAAGCCACAATCATGATTTATGGAAATACAATCTCATGTAAATAATTTTATTTGCAATAATAAAAACTTGCAAATGTTTATTGTGACGTTCAAAAACTTTTACTAAAAATGCAGCTAGACTTTATATACCTGACTAAATAATATGAAACCTGGGGTCAAAGAGCAAAAAGAAATATTTTTATATGATCAACAATCATTTTTGACTATTCAATTTAGGGGAAAATCATCAGTGTCGATATGTCATGTTTCGCCGTGAAAGTGAGGTTACCGGAGACTCAATACTTCAATCAAATCAAATTCTTTATTTCAAGTAGACTACAACAGGCATTTTTGATCGTCAAGCAAAAGAGATATCATAAGGTTTAAATTTATATGTGTCAGTCTGTCCGTCTGTCCTCTAGTGAAGCTATTTGCTCGTTCCAAAGTGTAGATTCCTATGGAGAAGAACGAGCAAGAAACTCTATAGTTACTCTTTTTCAATCACTTCCCTTCCTCAATCCCTAAACCTCCTAAGCCCTTATCCCAAAAAAGGTGGCGACACACGCCATAAATCCTCTGGTGTTACAGGTGTCCATGGGCAATGCTGATGGCCTATCATCAGGTAATCCAAATATGGTGACTCCTTGAGCTTAACTAGATCTTTATTGTGAGTTTCGTTGTATGGCTACAACTGTCTATCTTATTCAATATTTGGATTTAATGTTAACCTTACAATAATCTTTGATTATTTCTGCTTCAAAGAGCCAATAGACCACCAGCGAGTGTTTAAGTGTGGGAGAGCCAAGCTTCGGCACGAATGGGTCGGCTCGACCGAAGTGATACCACGGCCTCACAGAATACCGGCGTGAAACAACCCACAGCGTTGTGTTTCGCCATGTGAGTGAGGTTACTGGAGGCCCAATCCCTCCCCTTCCCCTAACCCTTCCCAATCCTTATATCCGCAACCCCCATCCCCATAAGGCCGGCAACGCACTACTCGTAACTCCTTTTGGTGTTGGGGGTGTTCATGGGCGGCGCTGATTGCTTACCATCAGGTAATCCGTCTGCTCGTTTGCCGACTTATACCATAAAAAAAGCGACAGGGCCCTATAGGGCCAGCCTAATAAGTCACCGCGACCACGGCCTAGAGTAGGAGAAAAAACGGGGGGATTTTAGTAAGTGAGAGTCTCGACACTTCCTCCCTCTCTCGTCCAGGTTAGGGCACCCGGGGCGTCAGTCATTTGAAGAATTTCCCCACACAAAAATAAATTACAATAATTTATTCTGCAGTGTTAAAACAAATTTTACTGCACGCTTGACGCCGAGGCTGGACAAGTGGTTGCTGAGCATCGTGTTGTGGGCGTGATCACCTAACGGAACCATCTCTTGTGTGATTCACAAATTGTTCGGAGTCGTGTGTGGATACATTTTTATGTTTATGTCTCGTCTAGAAAATTCTAGTGTTAGGCCTATGATTTACAAAAAAAAACATGAATTCTTGTACATATTTATCTATTGATTAACTTTGTGTTAATCAATAGATACATTACATAGCTACTACATATTCCTTTTGGAATCTCTTTATTATCTTTAGTAGCACAAGCAAGTGGTATACTAAATTAAGTCAACCTGAAACTTTAGTTACATGCACCCTTCTCGCTATTTTACCTAGACAATTAAACACCGAAATTCTGGAATCTGTGTAGGAACTTGAATGGATTTTGGCCTTAACAGAGTTTTTTCATGTGATAAGACAGCAAACGAGCAGACGGATTACTTGATGGTAAGCAATCGGCTCCGCCCATGGACACATGCAACACCGTAGAAGTTACGAGTGTGCTGCCCGCCTTTTGGGGATTAGGGTTTCTGAGATTTAGGAATTATGGAGGGGGATTGGGAAGGTGAAGAATGATTAGGCCTGCAGAATAATCTATAAGGTTGAAAATCTCTAATTACAAAGGGATAGGTGTAAAAAATATATTAAAAAATAACTTACAGGACGCAGAATGTTAGATGGACGATGCAGCAGACTGGACTTCTTGGAGAATGAGTGGTTCAGCATCGAGGGCTTCTCATTGGCTGCGTCGATGTCCGTGTAGGAGCGAGACATACTGGCCTTACTCTTCTTGCGAGGAGTCGACTTGGTGCCGGCTGACGACGACCGTTTAATAGGCTTCACCTTAGAAATGCCCAAACGTATCTATAAATATTGAGAATGGTCATTTGTGAAGTGGTGATATTGCCGCCATCAAACGTACCTTGTACTTGCGATGATGGGAAATGAATGCATGCAACCATGCAGGAAATGGGCATGCAGTAAAGCAGCGTCATTGATAGATGGTAACTTATCTAGGTATTTTAAAATACTTTTTCTTTACACCAACTGGTGTATAAAATACTAAATTCTTAGATGAGCATTATTGTGAGCAGGCGAATAAATAATGATGTTAAGTGTACAATCTCTTTAATTAGATCTATCTCTCTTACCTTGGGTGTAGCACTCTTTTTCTTAGAAGTAGTAGGCTCGGAAGCAGGTCCAGCGACCTCCTCGTCAGCTGGTTTCTCCTCTTGATTCTCATCTTCTTCGAGCACATCCTTCAACTTGTCAAACTCTTCCTCGGCATTACGAGCATGGTCGTCCAGGTCACCGAATTTCTAAACATTTGTCAATTGGTTAGTTGATCGTAAAAACTTAATACCAGTGTCCAGTGTTTGTCTCTTTACTAGACTAATTTTCCATCTCACACAAACACGGAATAGGCAAAAAGTAGTACATTATAAACCAACAAAATAACAGCTTAAACTTCGTAGCCAGTTATTATATTACTTTAATTTTGATGCGTATACTAAACTCTATGCTCCATTTACTATATTACATTTATCTATCCAAAATATCAGTATGTCAATACATTTTTGAAACTCTCAAATTAATTCTTAAGTTATAGGCAAAATATGTGAAGTTGGTTAAAAAAGCCTTCAATTTAGTGCCTACTTTTACTAATAAACATATTACATCAATATCATGAGCAGTCATGGAAGAGGCTATCAAAATAAACACAAGCTTTCTCCAAGTCACACACACTCCAAGTATTTTTCTTTATGGACCTACCTCCGGATGTACGATGAACTCCTCGATCTGATTGACTGCCTCCTTGAAGGCGGCAGTCTTGCAGGACTTAATCAGCTGCTCCTTGAACTCCTGGTACGGCTTGATGTTGTTGTCCTCGATCCAAGCACTGTTGGCAATCATTAGTAATCAAAAACTAGGATTTCGTAGGAAAAATATGATAAAGACGTTTTATTAGGAGAATGGAACCCTTGCTGTCTCGTAACGTGATCAATGTACGGATGATGACTTAAAATGGGATGTCCTACAGTCAAAGAATCATTTAATACCGAATATGAAAATGGAGCAATCTAATTTGAGCACATAACAACAAAGGAAATGAGTAAGAAAGTCTTTTTTATTTTAGTAATTCTGTCTCCTGCATTAACTTTTTATTTCGTTACTTCGGATCCAAAACAGCAATTCATATCCCTGAGACCGTTGGACTTAAGCGTTCGGGTGTTTTCATGGTCGTATCTACATCCTGGCTTACAAGATTTGCAGCGACTTCGGGAGAACAAGCCAGGCTTGTGTCATAAAAAAAAAAACTATAGAAAGGTGTAAGTAGAGAAGAGTGATAGGACGACACACGTCAAGTAAGACGAGGTGACGTCATAACTCACACACCCAGCTGTGTCCGGTGACTGTTGCAATTTTTTTGTGTTCAGTTCGAAATCAATACACCGTATAAATCTGTTCCATATCATATCCAAATCTAGGTCACTAGGACTTGCAAAGGGTTGATGTTGAATACATTTTAATTACTCAAAGCATTGAGTTGTCTGACTCTTTGCAAGTGTGACTTTAGATTCTTGGATCTTGACAAAGGTCCCTCTTTAGCCATAGTCAAATTTGGCGGGCAGTTTGCTTAGCCATATAATAAAAACACTAACCCTTAAGAGACATGATGCTTTATAATTACTGAAATGAAATATGGAGCGAGGTCGCCCGGGATTTCTCGGAAAAGCAAGTGCAGCCGGCTCTGCAGGGGAAGGGGATAAATCCAGTACATATCTATGCAACATAGTTACTGCGATCCAATTACACGTTTGCTGGAACCAAATCGATCCGCTCATAAGGCATATATCATTCTATCCGATAAGTACTACAGGATTGAGGTTCCAGATCTTTTGGACACTGAATATTTGCTAACTATGCACGTTTTAACAAGAATTTATAATGATCCTTTATAATGATTTATAATGATTATTTATAATGTAATTTATATTAATAATAGTTACGAATAAATACTTTCGGTTGCTTAAAAAACCGCAGTTAAGAGCAATTTTTTTACTGAAAATTGAGGACAATTCTGTGCAGAACTTAAACCACTAAACTAAATGTGGAAAAGTTTCTTGGGCAGGAATGGGCCGGTTTAACGTCGGAGTGATACCACGACCTCGGTGAATACCGTGGTGAAACACATTCTCGTCGTGAGAATGAGGTTACAGAGGCCAATCTTTCCCTTTACTCCACCTCCAATCCACAAATCTCTAAAACTGAAAGGAAGCACTTGTAACTCCTCAGTGCTGGGTGTCCTTGGCCAGCGTCGAGTGCTTATCATCAGGTAATATGATTATACCATATACTCAGAAATAAATGACTATTTTATTCTAATTACTTTTTAAGAAAGCACTTCTCTAACTTCATTAGGTAGGCAAAGAAGTGGTTGGTAAGTGATGTGTAATATTCAAACAAACCATAATATACATTTTAAACGCAGTCAGTAATCAATAGACATGCAATTTTCGAGGGCATGTATTCCATAACAATAAACCTAACCGTAGTAGCAAAGCAATTAAAACATTCAGGCAAACTGGCGGTACGATGCATTAATGTGAACCACACGCTAACTGTTAGCGAACCTCACAGTTTGGCAGTTTACGCAAAAAGTTCCATATGTATTGTATGTGGGAGAGACATGCTTCGGCACGAAAGGGCCGACTCGACTGGAGTAATACCACGGCCTTACAGAAATCCGACGTGAAGCAACACTTACTTTATGGTACGCCGTGTTAGTGAGGTTAGCGGAGGCCTAATTTTTCCTCCCCCATCCTCAATCCTCAAATCCCCTATTCTTAATCCCTAATAACCAATAAGAGGCCTGCAACACACTTGTAGTTAACTCCTTTGGTGCTACGAGTGTTCATGGGCGGCGCTGCCGCTGATTGCTTACCATCAGATAATCATTTGTCGATATATGACATAAAGAACCGCGCATTTTGTTCAGAATAATAAACTCGTTAAATACAAACAAGTGGTTCGATAAAGGTATGAAGACGTCGGTGGTCTAATAATTGTCATCCTTTTAGAATCGTGTTATGATGAGGCCAACAAAAGATTGCCACAAATTGCCGCGCAAATTGGAGGGGACTGCTAACTGCATAATGCAACTTTCAAACGAACACTAGCATCTCAGAGTATTGTCAGTCAGAATTCTATGCATTTACGAATTTTAAATAAACGACAAACAAAATAGGAACAGCTTCTCGAATCGACGTGTAGTGTTTTGATTTGTAAAAACTATTTACATTTTTATTGGCTGTATTTTTTATAAGTCCTTTAGATTTGCAGTTTGCACAGGCATTATTTCCAAAGTAAAACTACGACTGAGCTGTAAAAAATCCTTTAGTTCAACTTCTGAATCCTTGCGTCAAAAATCACAACTGCACTCAAGTGATACGATAGCTACGAACAAATGTGCTCTGAAAAATATGCATTTTCTCCGATGCTTGACAGAATTTCCAGCTTTTAATAACCTAATAAGGATTTGGTATAACCATAGCTGTTTAAACCCATATACTTAGTACCGCACACACTTTAAATACTTGATGACGTCACATAACGGAATTTTAAAACCATTCTGTATCGCAATATTATTATGATGTTTCCTATGACGCTGAAGTCAAGTGTAAGAAAATATCTATCTTACACCTCATCCCCTTAATGCATTGTCAGTCAAGAAAGAGGTAAGTACACATTTATGGCATACTTTAGCACCACCAGCACAGCTAGTGTCTTCTGCTCTTTTCAATTTATTTCTTGTTGCATTATTCCAGATTAAAATTGGCCCTAAATTCCAAATAAAATAAATAATGCGAATACCCTGATACTTTGCCACCCGAAAAGACAGTCATGGATTATGATACTTTGGGAAATTTTGCCACCCAAAAAGTCAGTTATAGACCTTCACATCAAGGGTGGTGCTCTCACCCGTGGTGAGACATGAGTGGTAAACGAGGTTAACCAAAATGTGGCCGATCCATGTAATCAATTGTGTTAAGTACTAGCCTTCGAGGGCAAAGATTAAAAACTTATATACGAAATTTAAGTTTCATGACAACTTTTTTATCGTTACTTTAAATAAGTATTTGAATGTAAAATCTTCGAAAACCCCTGCCCATATAACAGATATATGAATATGATGGAAGCTAAAATACGTACATGCGAATACTTATGGATTATCATACAAGAATGGGTCTGCCATATGCCATGTATGATCCTTCCTTGGCAACAAAATGTTAAGAACCACAATTAGACCCACTTCTGACTTTCCCTAACGTTGCACGGACTCAAAACTATGCTAATGTTTATTAGATCTAAGTTTGTTAAGTAAGTAATAAAAGCAATCATTGAAATAGCATAAAACAATGTATACTTTATAATCGCTTTTACTCAGTGAAGTAATTTATTACTGCCATGTCACATTGGACAAGTTTAAGGACCAAATAAATGTTATTACTTTTTTATTTATTCATATTGTAAAACATTTATTCTAGATGTAGTGACAGAAAATACAAAATCAAGAGGTGCTAGTTTCCTTCAAGGTAGTTTCAAATTGTTGAGTAAGGGCGAGATGGATTATAAGGCAGAGCTTTGGCCTTCTTACTTTCAAAATTTTCAGTATAATCACTGAGTTCATTTAGATGTGTGTTCTGCTCGAACAGAATTTATCAAAAGCGGGTATAATACGTAAACCTCTGTTCATAGACATATTTAAGTAACAACAGTAAGACTAAAAGCCCCAAGCGGCGATTGGTAGATACACAATAGTGTATACAGATAGACAATTGTGCACATGCAGCAAATACATTCTTCTACTATAGACCAATTAGTAATTAGGACCTCTCAATCTTCTACAGTTTTAAATCCTTTTTTTAAGATAATACAGTATAAGATATGTGTAAACATATACAAAGTATTTATTACATTTAGCATAGCCATATTGCAGCTGATATGATGATGTTGATCACATTTAACATCAGAATAATCTGGACAACCTCACAATGAAAACTCGTAAAATATTATAGTACCTGCTCGCATACACATGCATCTCTGCCTACCCTTTTAACATTGTTGAACAATTATAAACAACATATAAAAACTCAGTCTCTACAATTGTAAAACATCAAAACTGTTTTGATTTTGGCACCAAGCAAAACAGCCATAACTTAACAGGGTTACAATGAATAAATCTGTCATCATCAGCTCGTCTAAAACGGAGAAGGTTTATCATTTAATGTTTGGTAAAGGCGGTCTGGCGATTTCAAACTTATTTAAGTCCATGATTATAAAACACTTCAGAAAACTAAGTTCCAGGCCAATACAGGCCATACAATAATCAGAATCATAAAAGATATCAACTTCCAGTCAGGGTTACTGTTGCAAGCGTAGAACCGCGGCCCGGCTTGGAGCAGAAAAAGGAACAGGGTACTTTTTAGTCAGTAAGAATCTGATGCTCCTCTCTTGCCCCATCCTGGACGGAAAACGTCACTAGCCGATTTTCCTCCCTCCAAAAAGGGACTTTTATAAATTTTCCCTAATTCTCACACCCAGTTACTGAAAGGCTTGTCAACGCTAAAATTAACTAATCTCCTGTTAAATCTCTTGTCAAGTCATCTGATTGGTTGTTGATAATTCAGTGAACCAATCAGATGACTTGACAAGAGATTAAATTGATTTTAACATTGATCCACCTTTCGGAAACCGGGGGTCAGTGTAGCATAAACTCTGTCAATCCACCTCGAGCAAGTGAAGAAAAATACATCCATCCAATATCAATCCTCGAGATGCGTAATCTTTTTTGTATGGGAAGGGGGTTTTGCAGCAGTAAGAGTAACAGGCTGATGACAAATGATAAGTTTTAGAGTATTTAGAAATAAAGAACATAGAACAATAATTTGAAAGTGAAATCTTAATACACTCTTCTATTTGAACTTATAAATTAGCCTGTATCAAGAACTGAAATACCACATCTTGGGATAATGATGAGGCATAATACTCAATGGTTTTCTCATTATAAACTATTTGTTATTCTTGTCTCTAGATTTTATATTAAAAAGTAGTGCTATTATTGTGATGCTCTAGTCTAGATTCTAGACACAACTCCATTACCTAAGTACATAGCTATATGGTAAACAAATTGATGGAGATTGACACATTGTTCTCGTAAAAAGACTCTGATCCATTTCCTGGATTAGACAAAGTATTGAGATTTCCAGTTGTTGAAACTTTTTGGTAACATCAGTCTGGTATTTACAGTTGCAGTAGTTGCCCATCCATTTAAGAGCAAAACAAGTGAAACGTGGGCAAAGTTTTTGATAAAGTTTAAGCCAATAGTAACGAGATAGACTGGTAAGACAAGTGGGAAGTCACAACATGGCACAAGTCAAGTTACACATGAATAAAGTAAAAGTTTAATAAAGTCTTGGGTCCAATAGTAGAAACATATAGATGGGAATTACATAGCTGTCTTAGCTATGCTAACCCAGTTTCATTAGTTCAAAATTATTAAAAGAAATTCACATGTTTTAAAACAACTCAAATGCCTACTAAACTCCTAATAAAACGTAACTAGTAAGATTTAAAAACGATAGATAAGATTCACATTTAATGGTCAGATTTGGAACCTAGAATCCCCATCATTAACAATAATTTTAAGTAGTTTAGGTGTAACTCAGTAGTTCCAAATGAGTCTGAAAGCCAATTACATACAGACTTTTCATTTTTCAATTGTACAACTTCACAAAAATTGGCTTCATTGAAAAATAACAGGTGTAGATCACAACATACATTTTTAGAGAGGTTCTAGAGAGTGTTAAATGACTCTTAAAATACCAGGTGTAATATTTAAATACATTTTGTAATATTTGCATCATTAGTTTAAATTAGTACTATTTCTAATTAGATCATTAAACATAATGAAATATATAAAAGCTAGGAATATTAGCTAATCTGTAATCTTAGAAAGTTAATTAAAAAGACTGACTAAACTCTAAATTAATTACACCAAAATGAGAGGAGTTTATTTATGAATAGCAAAAAATGAGGTGGTTGTTATGTGTGCTTATTAATTATCTCTGCCTTAGGGAAAAGGAGAACTAGTTAGGTATTATATCATGTGATTAAATACACCAAAACTTGATCATCTTTTACCATTTAAATCGGGCTACAACTTATTTACAAAAACTACTAACAATACCAATTCTTGTTGTGGTAACACTAAGATATTATTAGGCATGGTATGTTTTAGAATTCTAGTAGACACAAGTTTGTGGAGGAGTTAAAACTTTTTATTGACATTATTCTATTAACTGTTAAGGAGAGTTATTGAAAGGGCATTAAATGTTAATATTAAGTCTATGTGTTATTATACCTTCATCACATTATTAAGTATTTTTGCCCTAATGTATCTTATTAAAATATAATTAATAGTGTAATTATAATTTCTCTAAGTAGCAATTACATTTGAGTGCCCAAAGGGGTTAGCAGAGGTGTACTTTTAGTGTTACTATTATTAAAGATTTTATTGTTAATAAAAATAAGACAAATAAGAACCAGACATGGTTAAATAAAATACCAAAACAATACATAATAATATACTAATAGTCAACTTAGTTATAACATTCTGGAATCTTTTAAATTCTTCATTGATATAATCTATTTGGTTTAGGTAACTTTAAATAAGAATACAATTTCTATTTAGTAATGTGTTGTCTCAGTGTTGCTATGGGAAACAATCCAAAACTACCAGAATTTGTAAAGTTTTTAAAGATAAACTGAACACAAGCAATTTCTTTCTGTGATTTATGCTATGATGCTCTTGTTAGCCCACTACAATGATAAAACCTCAATTGACAGAGAAGGCAGAATCCATAGATAATGTTGTTTATTTAGTAATAAGGCTGGTACTTACTAGTTGTTGGTGCCGAAGAAGTAAATGCATTGGGCGTTAGTAGCCTTCTTGGGAGGCTTAAGCTCCGGGGTAGGAATAGCTACCTGAAAACCATCACAAACCTTAATTAGGGTCAATGTTTTCTCTCACTATTATGACATTTCTCAACTTGTTTATCAACTTCAGCAGCTGTGGTGAATGTCTAACTCTATTTCGGAAAGTTGTTCTCAAGCAGAAGCCCCAGCCACGCAACATTTATATAGGCATCCACTCATAATTATCAGGAAATTTTCCCGCCCATGGTACAAATATTTTATCTGTCATTTTCATCAACAAACAGCCCAACTATTGTTTACAAGTTTTAATTGTGATGTTTACTAATGGAAGAAGAGTGTTTTATTATTTTTTAGTTTAAAATTAATAAGGAAAGCGTCTTACCCGGCCGGGCCAAGGGCTGAAACCCTTCATCTTGGCCCTGAAACAAACATACGACACGTATTATCATCACTAGAACTGATTAAACACTACAAACTCCTTGGAAAAGCCTCAAATTTCAATACATACCACACAAGATCACCAAGTTTAAAACTTTCAGACATGGTACACGACCGCTCTCTTCAACTTTCCACGACGAACTAACCAAAGAGAAACGTATTCTGTATAGATGGTCTAGAGTTTCAGCGTCTGTCCGCTAGTCTATGGATGTTGTGAAAAATCAGTTTTTTCCGGTAAAACATAACATAAACCGATAATTTGCTCAAACAAAGTTCTTACTAAATTGATGTTTTACGGACAATGCGAACATAAATAAATTGGTAATTTAATATTCATAATTTATACAAAATAACAGAATCTCTGACTAAATCTAATATTTAGTTTCAAAATCAGAAATAGCATGCCTGTTGACAGTTTGATTTGACGTTGCTTTTATTATTTATCTGTATCGGATTTTCGCGTAAATTGTGATAAGTTTCAATTTCATGTTGGGTTGCAAATAAGCCGCCAAAGTTAAACTTAATCTTTGTTTTGTAATGAATTTGATATAAAATGTCCAAAAGATTTTATCCACAATCGCATGGGGAACGCAAAAAAGCAAAGCTTGACATAAGTATATCAGATCACAACTTCCCATTGAGTCAAAACAATGAATTCAATCAAGGTAAACATTGCACATTTACGATTTTTGACGGTTTTCGCTGATAAATTAACAATATTATGTATAATTAGCAAGCTTTTAGGATGGCTTTCATCGAACTTCACACACACAAAACTTTGTAAAAGTACTTTTAAGTAAGGTTATGTGTAACTTTGTTTTATGCCGTAGTTACCAACAATGATGACAACTGGGGAGATGACAATGATGACGAGATCCTGCTGCTCGCTAGTCAGGCGTGCGAGCAAGCTTACAACAGCAATGACATCAGCCAGTTGCCAGACTACAGTATGTGTATGCAGCCTGGCTCAACAAGTACACAACTTAGTTTACACCCCACCCCAAGTACATCTAAAAGCGAATTCACGTTTAAAAAGCCATCGTTCAACCAACCCACTGCTATATCAACCCACCTAAAAGAAAAATGCCACAGAATATCTTCACCATTACCTGGTATCTCATCAAAAGTTATACCAAAGACAAATGGACAAGTAGACATGTCTGATGAATTAATATTTAGTGACAAAGTTTTCAAGAGTAATGATTCTGATCAAGTGTACCGGCAACTACTGCAGATGCAGGAAGAGAATGCTAAACTAAAATCTGAGAATGGAAAGTTGTTGGAGAAATGTGTGACAAAGGAAGGGGAGGCTTCTATCCTGCGGACACAGCTAAAGAGTTGCCAGGCAGCTGTAGACAATGCCAGGTTGGAGAAGATCAAGGCTCAAGAGAAAGTACAGATGGAATGGAATGAGAAACTCACAGCAGCTAATAAACAAATGCATGATTTGAGGACACAGTTAGATTTTAAGGTACCACTAATTATTAATTATAATGATTTATATCTCAATAATCATGTTTAATTCTTATTTAGAATAATCCCAAACAACTGAAGAAGTTTGTTACAGTATAGTACTTCTAATTTAATTTAATTTCTTATTTCAAACTTTATTGTAAATACAACATTATGTTTGGTTACAGAATCTCGAAATAATAAGTGTAAAGGAGAAGTGCAAGAAACTGGAATCATCAAAAGTGAGACTGACTCAAGTTACTGTCAGTGGAAATGATATATCCCAAAGGTTTGTATTTACTTGCATAACAACTACAATATTTATTTACATGTAAAAACAAGTGAAATCACATATTAAATACATTTCATAACATTTAAAATGTAAAAATTAACTGCTCAAACAAACTTGGCTTCGACTCACAACAGAATACAAATTTCAAGTGTCTAATTTTCCATGAATTTCCGTTCTCGTGGATATTTCGGGAATTCCTTCCTCAGTGCACTCTATGGTACCTAAGCTAAGCTACATCTCTTCCAAATTTCAATTGCCTATGTTTAGCCATTTAGGCTGTGTTGATATGCCCACGGGATATGTCAGTCAATCAGATTCTCCTTTTATAAACTTAGAGTATTGGTGTACCATACTTAAACTTTGTATTCATATTTTTCAGGCACTACAGTAACTTAACACAGAATGATATGCTTGTGCATCATACCAAGAAAGTAAAAACCGCATCCAATGCTGTGCAGACTGAGGGAAATGCTCACATGCTGAAACTGAATAAGACATGTAAATTAGGTACTGGGCTTTATAAAGTTAGATTTTATAGTATACTAGCTATCCACCCTGGCTTCATACAGGTGCAATTCTGGTACTAAATTTGTCCACTATTTAATCAATGTTATTGTATGTCCCTCTTCAATAACTCTACCTTTAAAAAAAACAACATCAAAAACTGATACATATAGAAAAAGCAACTTTATTTGGTACTAAGTAGTGTTAAGTTCTGTATGAGTTAGAACATGTAAAATAGTTTAATAAAACATCAGGCTTCTTATTATCTTAATTTGGAGTCACCTATAAAAGTAATCTGCGTTGCAATGGCTATCTGGCTTGGGCATAATACCCAACAAAGAGAATCTGTTACCAAATATTTATATATTCTGGATACCCAAAAACTCTTTGATAAAACTCCTTGACATAGCAACAATCCAATTTAAATGTTGGTTCCAGAATCCAAAATGCATACTTCAATTCTTCCATACATATTAGAACCTTCTACAACGCAGCATCATTCCATTTTGGACTATAACGAGAAACTCCAGAAGGCTACAGACCTGTCTCAGAATAAGTGTAGGATATACAGTACATTCCATCGACTGCCTTCCACTCCTGTACTCAAGGAAACAGAGAAGACTAAGGTGGTGATGAACAGCATCTATGAAGATGTTGCTTGCGTGTTCACTGGGGATGTTCAGAGTTTTGAAGATAGATACTTTAATGTAAGTATTGCATTGAGATCTTTTTATGAATAATTGTTCATTTCGTAAAGTGTTCTACAACATTTTGGGAATATATTACATTTAATGTAATTTTTTTAGAATTGTTTGTTAGTTGACATCTCTATTTATCTTGAATTGAAATTGGAAAAAAATAATTGCACTTCTTAGGGCTGATTTTTCAATAGTCAGATAAATGTTATCTGAGGAATAAAATTGTTGCTGTCACTGTCTTACACAAACATTCTGACGTGACAACATTAGTATATTAATTTCCAGGTATCGTTTATCTAACCATTGAAAAATCACCTCTTAGTCCTACTTCTCATTTTTTTCTTTACCAAAACTATACCCTTATCATGATGATGAGAGGTAAATCATCAAATTACTTCTCTCGCCTAAGGTGGGGTGAGGGGGAGATTTGAAAAGTCCCTCCAAACATTATATTTTATTCCAGATCTTCAGTTCAGTGAAATCCGTCCTGTATGAGACGCGCAGCCGTCTGGAGACTGTCTGCCAGCGCGTCACCACTGCTTTTCAGAAGGAAATGGATGAGAAATACATGGAGGTCACTGCCACATACCAGTATGTTGACAGGGAAGAGCTGTTGAGAGGCAGGTGTGTTAAATATATTGTCTTTTTTTTCTCCTATGTCGTGGGTAAGTTTAACATACACGTTTCATATACACATCACTCTCAGTCAGGCCCAGAACAACAATTTGAGGATCACTCAGAGGTGTTCTGTGCGGGAATCGAAACCGGGTTACGCTGCGCAGCAGTCAGTTGCCAAGCCACCTCGCCAACCGTGCAGTCTATACTTACTGAAATTTAATTGTGAAATTATTTTATTATTTGTTATCTGAAATTTCTGAAAATATTGCGTTCTATCTGATATTACGCAACGAAAGGCTCATACTCACAGAGGGAGTGTCAGACTCTTACTGACAAAAAACCCCCCTGTTCCTTTTTCTGCTCAGGGCCGAGGTCGCGGTGCCTCATTGCGCTTACCCCGCAACCCCGGCTGAACATCAGCTCTATAGGTTCTTTGGTGGTCTTTTGGCTCTTTGAGGCGCATACGCGGAACGCTACGCGCCGTTCGCTCGGGCCTGGATCTGTTCAGGCGGCGAGCTCCCGTTACTCGCCGTCCGCAGACCCGCGCTTACGGTGGCTGGAGATCGTATCTCGATCAAGTAAATATTGGTCTGCAATACGAAGCTTTGTCGTTTCTCCCGGTTTTCGATAGGTTCTCGCCTATTACCAGCTCCAAGCTTCCTTAAATCGTTCCACCTTTTTTTCTATACATGAGGCATTATCTATTATATGCTTATCTCCTATTTCCTTTCAGTCCACTCTTTAAAGAGGAGCAAGAGATTCAGTCGAGAAGAATAGTAGCCCTACTATCATATGTTCTGGAAACTTCTGCGGGAGTGCACTGGTTCTTCAAACATGAACGGTTGAGAGGTGAGACTGCAGAGAAGACAGGACAGTTTGTGGACATTATCTATAGGATATGTTTGCTACTTGATAATGCTGTAAGTAATTTTAATATGAAACATACTATTATAGGTTTTGAAATATAAAATATGAAATGAGCCCTTATTTTCCCTTTCCCTGCCTTATTTTCTTGATAAAAATTTCTAATGTCGTTTCAGTGTACACATGTACAAAAATACTCAGCATAGCATGGCAAATCATTAAATGACTTCTCTCGTCATGGGTGGTGAAAAAGTCGGACTCTTACTGACTAAAAACCACCCAAAATAAAATATTTGCAACTACATTTTTCGACCTGACCAATTTCTTTAATAAATATTCAACTTAATGCCATTAGTATAGAGTTGTAAATCGTAGTCTGTCGAATAAAGCTGAATACCAAAGTCGAAAGACTTCAGAACCACATTCCACATACCACACAACAGGCTTTAAAACCACACATGATATCAACAATTAACGCAAACCCTACAATGACAAAAATTTAGTAATATCAATACTCTAACTTTCCAGTCATGTGCAACTCTATACAGCGGGCTTCTATTAGCAATAACCAATGTCTTACAAATTCTAATATCGTCTGATATCAGCAAGACTAAAGTTTTGGAGATTATAAAGATTATACTGACATCCAGACCACTTCCCTTTGTGGTGACCCATGTACTAAGTTTATTAAACACGGTGGCCTTATGGGACGATTTTATGAAGACTTTCTGTCCTGGCAATGGTACGGGGAATTTGAAGACAGATTATGATCAGGGTGTCCTGTTGTATAAGAAAGGTATGGATAATTTAATTTTTAATAAACAAGATGGTAGTTATTTCCTATAGAAGTTGGACAGAAGTTTATTAACAATGCAATCACCATTTTGCTAATTATGTTATTGAAGTGAGCGAGGGCCTTGCTATGGCACGAACGTTGGGTCGGCTCGACCGGAGTGATACCACGGCCTCACAGAAAACCGATGTGAAACAACCACAGCGTTGGGTTTCGCTGTGTAAGTGAGGTTTTTAAAATGCCCAATTTCCAAAATGTCGGCGACGCACTCGTAACTCCTCCGTTGTTGTTGTTAGTGTCCATGGGCGGCGCTGATTGCTTACCATCAGGTAATCCGACGGCTCGATTGACGTCCTATCACAAAAAAAATGCTCAACGCTTCATGCTTTCACTCAAAAGGAGATCTTTGAAATCGAAGGAGAATATGGGTTGGTGTGCCACAGCTATAAAGCACCTACTGAATGGAATAGAATAATAAAATACCATGTAATAATACTATATTTTTTTAATGATTTTTTCCACTCAATTTACAGACTCGTGTTTCATCCAAGTGCTTCTAAAACAAATAGAGATGTGTCTCAAGTGTATGGAGAGACAGAGACTGGCTGACAGGGTAGTGGAGACCACACAGAACCTGATAATACTGTATAGTAATGTTAGTGATAATACCAATTGCAGCTTGCCAAGAGAGAATTCTAGGTAAGATTACAACTGTTTTTATTTCATTTTAAGCGTTTAGGTGATAAGCCATGCGATGATACGATCTCGCGAAACACGACTTCGGCTAATAATGCTATTTCTTTTTTAAGCACATTATAAGATTATAAAATATATTTGGAGAGATATGTTCATGGCCCATTTCAATTACATTTTGATTTTTCATGTGGTATTTTTGAAGCAAAACGAAAGACAATAATTTTTTCTAAGCTTATAAGAATTTGAATGAAATTTGACTCAAATTATAGCTTGGTGTCAAAATACATGTAGCCTTAACTTACACTTTGGTACAGTCCGAAACTGATTCTTGTTTATTTTGTTTTAGGTATAATTTGTAATGTTGAATTTGCGATTTACGAAATGCGATGTTTATATTCCAGATGCGACTGCCAGCTCGTCCTTATACAAGTGATAGTGTACTCTCTACGAATATGCGCTGTGATGCTACATAGCTTTAGAAATAACTCTATAGGTGAGTCAGTTTCAATAAAAAAAACTATTAACATAGTGTAAAACATAGTCCCAGTCTGTTTGATTATAACAACCAAAAAACAATATTTAAGTGGAGAAATTTAGTGTCGGCATTGCATCCGAGCGAAGTAAAATTGTTGTTTATAAGTTTTTAAACATTATCTAATAATTTAATACATTTCGTTTTTAATAGGGTTTGCCCGGGGACTGAAAGTCATAGAAGTAGGTAAACTATGAAATCTAACAAAAAAACTCATCATAAGGTTTAATTTTTAGTATCGACCATGACATCTTAGCGTGACATTGCGCAGACGCAGTTAATTTAGTTTTTACGACTAACTTTCATAAGATATTTCGTACTAAGCAATAACTTTGTACTCTTGTTTTTCAGAAGATAGCAGTGAGGAGCTAGTTTCTGTGTGTCGGTGTGGTATACAGCTATTGTACCAGTGCGCGGTCAGGGACGTGGAGTTCAGTGCTCAGCTCGCGCACAACGAGGGTCATCTCATCGAGTTCTGTGAACTCATGAGAGGAGTCGACCATAGTGAGGCATACAGTAAGTTATATATAAATTAATATAAAAGGATTATGTAGCTGAGCCTAACACCGGAACCAAATACAGGAGGTTCACATGTTCGTATCATCAGCCTATACTAAGTGTCCACTGAGCAAAGGCCTCTTCTCAAAAGGAGAAGGTTTATTAATCACTATGCTTGCTCAAGGCAGATTGGTGACATCAGAAGATCACGCCATGTATGCGTGATATTATGATATGTTATGCTTTTTAAGCTCTATGTTAGCTCTTTCTCAAAAATTACTTTTTTTCCAGCAAATATGCTGTCAGAGCTCGCCAGTACCCTCCAGTCGACACCAGAAGATATGCCGCCATCATTCCATAGACAACCATGGCTGAAAAGCTTCGAATCTTTCTCATTGGTCGACTAACTTTATTATAAGTGATTTCTTACGTCAAGTAAAAATTATATTTTTATAATAAAAAAAAAATGTGTAAATATTGTAAATAATGCAAACAATTTTCTGATTCTTTATGTGATTATTAAGATAGAAAATACATTTATTATTTATTTAAAACATTTATTCTTTTATTTTATAATAAATATAAGACTTTTTACATTAATTAGGAATGTGAAAATGAAGTACATATTTTATGATTAATTTAACAAATTATAATTTTATATAACTAATTAGGTGACTTAGCTTGACACAACAGACAATGTTGGTTTTCTTATACCGCATGTAAACATACATTGTGAAACAAAATGGCAAGGGAATAATTTGACATTGAAAATCTTATTATTAAATAAATTTTTACACACTTTCGAGGCATTAACTATGGCTCGAAATTGATAGGCAACATTATATATAGAGTAATTTTCACACCTGTGTGTGTCAAAAATACATTGAAACTCATTGCTTACTTGAGTTAGTTATAATATCTTATATAAATTAAAATAACGGGAAAGTACAAATATATCACTGTTTCAATACTTAAGATGGCATACCGTAAGCAGGATGCACCATTGTCATCCCCATCACAAATTTCTATGCCTACCTATAGTATAAATAAATGATTTCTTGAGTCAAAATCTGTATGCTCTATAATACATTTTGTATTTAGCACTACAAAATTGTACTTAGCATAATGAAATGAAAAAGTCAAATGTAAGTTATATTATAATAAATAGAGCATATAAATAATGACTCCAGTGTTAAAAATAAACTACAAACAATTCAATTAAGGTTTAACTGTTGTTACAATTGTGTCATCAGCTGTGTTAGGCTGATGAAAGAAGTACAACATAAAACCAGCTGCTAAAAGGAAATGAAAAGCAAGAATAGATCCAATAAGAACTAGGAAATATCTTGATTTTCTTAACGCAGGCATTAGCCAGAAAATCAGGACGGCTCCGGAGACAAAAGCAGCCATCAGAACGAAGAGCCATTGCAGCCAGAATACTTGGATGGTCCATAATACTGCTACGGGTATGTATATGGAGAGAGAATATCCATATAGGCAGAATAATGACATCATTGTCGGTGATTTTGCATCCTGAAAAATACAGTTAATGTTTATTTGTATTATTTGCCAGGCTACTCTTTGAGGCTTTGACTTTTGGGGACCATATTCCCACTTTATTTTTTCTTTATTAGTATTTACTGCCTTTAATAAATTTGAATAAAAGTTACAACTTCTAGGAGGATTCTTTAATGTATTACATGCTTTTAACAGTGTAATCATTATATTTACCTGATTTTCTATCTCATCATGACCATCTGTAGTGCTGGTCCATTTCAAGGCAGCCCAGAGTGCCAGAGGTACAATCCACACATAGCAGGTGATGGCTGTAGCTGCAATGGACACCAGGTGGAAGTCATAGCGCCAAACAAATCCTTTTTTGTTTGCATTGTGCAAGTAACTAGCTATGTTACCACTTACTGCTATTGTGAATATCTGGAAAGAGAAGTGTTAACCTAGTATCAATAATGTGCGTACACAAACAAAACTAAAAAGTATAGCTACTCACAAAACTCATAATTTGAATTAATTGATACATTGTAGTATTGTGTCACAATAGATTAACAAGTTTGTTTACAAAAAGAACATAAATGATAGTCTTTTGGGTAACAAAACATTAAACATACCAGGGTGACAGAAATCCAAATAGGTCCATACAAATCTGGTTTTCCCTTGATCCTTTCATCAAAGTAGTTGCGGGACACCTTTTGGGGTAGAACAGAGGAAATAATCCGTTCAACCACCTCATTAGTGTGTACATCAAAATATTTTTGATAGTATTCTATAGTCCAAAAGTTGTGGTTTGCTGTAAATTTAAATACATAGGCATTTCATCAAAATAAAAAACAATATAGACATAATTTTAAAAGGAAGTTGTTATATGAATCACCCTGATAACTACTTTAGAATGTTTTCGGGATTTTATTACCAACACAATATAATATTATGTAGATAAACCATAACACCAATAAGTAACAATTTTTTAGTAAAATATGGAAGATAAAGAAAGAGCATTGGTTTATTTTGGGATTAGATTAACAACGGTACTTACTTTGAGGGGCAGCCTCTGGTTCTTCAATCGTTTTGGGCTCATCAAAACTATAGTTTGGATTTGACATAGTGTTGTTGTATTGATTTGTGTGCACTGCCTCCACGTCAATGCGGGCACTACGACTATTATGATCAGGAGAATAGTCCTGAAAGTCCAAAAGTTCACCTGTGTTCACGTTCGCCATAATTATTTACTTCATAAACAGCGAAGTAATAAAATACGAATTTTCTTTAGTTTTAACTTTATGAAAGTGACAGATTCTCACTCGGCCAGCTAACAAGTACCAACCTACAACAGAACTGTCACTGTCATTCTTTTACATATTTATAACGAGAATATATTCCTTCAAGGAAATTATCCTTCAATTTAGGATAATATTCTCGGTAGTTATACTCACAAGCTACCTAAATCAATTCAATGGAGACAGTCGCCATAAAAAGCAAAAGTAATTAGTCTCTTCTCAATACCTTCGACCGAACTTTGTTTATTGTCTATAGTAATAAATTATTGTAGTTAAACTTGTGGGAGTCGAATAGGACTGGGGAGGGATGTACCTATCCCAATCGGAAACTGATGGGTATTTATTGCTGACCGTACCGGATTTGCTCTGATAGCCGATACCTCTCCTTCCCCAACCAGCCTAACTCAAAATGTTGCCTCGGTGTCTCTACATATTGGTCAGGGGTAGGGGCCATAGCTACCGACATCAATAAGCGCGCATAATTTTCAACCATAATTATTGCAAAATAGTCCTGCAACAACTTGGCATTAGACTACAACAACAATGAAATTGCCGGCTGAGCTTCCATTTCACTAATAATACGAAAGTTGTTCGACGACCTCTGCGTACTGGCTTCGGTCCATCGTTGGCTATTCAAAGGTCCGCAAGGGACACAGTCCTATGCTCTCGTAAATTATTTGTAAAACTTATTGAAAAAGTAGTAATGATGAAGTTTCTTGCTCGTTCTTTGGTCTATTTATTTGAAATTATTGTAACTATTGATCGCAACTCAGAAATTAGCAGATTTAATTTATAATTAATATGTCAGCAAGTCTGATATAATAGTATTTTAATTAATGTAAGACTGTATAGTAACAACAATAAATATTTTTGTTACTCAAAACTCAAATTCACCTCACCTTTCCTCAAATTATTACTTATTTTGTACATTGTATTTCATAGAGACATAGACCCTAGTACCGCAGCGCTTGCGATTGTCGTTCTAATATTGTCTATGGCTACTGTTTTAGGAATGGGAAGGGGAAATCGACCAACGCCATTTTGTTTTCAACAAGACGTCGTAACGTCAAGTCGATACTAAAATTCAGTCTGTCTTTTTCTGCCGCGTCGAAGAGAACTATTAAAATAACGCGAGTTAGACACGATCAATGTATTATTAATTTAAGTTCTACGTGAGTTGATTGCTACAATAAAGTGTACATATCAAAGATAGTGTTTTGCAATTTGTGATAACGTAAGTTCACTACGTGTTCATTTCTGAAATCTCGCCATATTGGCTAACCACGTAACAGAGTAATTTCTAAACTTGAAATTTGGTTAATTACAGTGATGTTCAGTTGAAGATTTGCTTGGTATGGTGATTTCTACGACTACGGTCGTCGGTCAAGATGTCCAAGGAAGTAGCGGAAGAGTATGCTTCCAGTTTAGCGGACCTAACCGTCAACAGCAAGCCGCTGATAAATATGTTGACGATTCTCGCAGAAGAGAACATCGACCACGCCGGGGTTATCGTTGAAACAGTGGAGAAGCATTTAGAGAAGGTGAATTTCAATTTTTAAAATTAACGCGTGTGAGGTGCTTCGGAATTAAATGCCACACGGTCACGTGAGAGCTAGGGGAATAATGGGAAAGTGTTGTCAAATATTGAATTGATGACGCGCGCTACTCGTTGCGTGCTTTTCGTGTTTACTGTGACTAGTATGACTAATTCGACCTCGTTGTAACCAGTCGAAGCATTAACAGGTATCTCCTACAATATGTTCGTATTTCACAATTACTGATAACAATATGACAGCATTGGCTATAAATATTAACTCCTGTAGTATTAGTTGTTTCAAGTCTGTACACAAGAAGCTTGTTTTAAACTGGATATTCTTTAGTGATTATGTTAGTATGATGAAATTATGAGTTAATGATTAATTTCTTTCGTTATTGATTGGAACTATTTCAATACTACCTAATTTGTTGATTTTGCCTTTATCCTCTACCATTGCCTACATTTGGATGAAGTCCACAATTCTCATTATCTTCAAGCCTAGAAAGAGAAATTTATTTTCGAAGGCACAATTCTATATCTGGCAGAAATATATCCTGTCCCTTGGTTTTATGTTATTACATCGAAACCATAAATGTCCCTCTGAGACACCAAGCCACACCATACCTTTGGTCCAGAGATAAGGAAAAGGATGTGAAAATAATCCCTGCATAGTATAAAATTAACTCCAAAAATTCTCTTCATGACAAACAGGGTTTGTTGAGTATAAAAATATAAATACTGCTTTAGGCCAAGTCAATATTGTGAGCACAGAATTTAACTTCACAATACAGGATTGGCTTTATAAAATACTTGTTCATGCTTTGTGAGATGATCTGCAGAATGTCTTAAAGTGAATTCCACACATTCAACCTTTCAGCAGAGTTCAGTTGTATAAATTTGTCTTTATGCTCTAACCATCAAAATACATAACCTAATATTCATAAAAATTGTGCAAGAAATCAATATTATGTGCAAACTACCTCATTAAATCACAGAAGTGTGAACTCTTACCCATATAAAAGATTCCCCAACAAGTTTATAAAAATCTCGATATTGCTAGTCTTTTCATGTTATATACATAAACCAGCTTTTATAAGATTCTTCATTATAGTTAGTGCTTGATAAATATGAAATTTTAAGACTAGGAATAAGTAGTTTAACAATAGATTGATTGCCTGTCATTGAGAATTGTGGACATCTACATATTGCTGTGTTATTACATCATTATATTGATTATTTATTTTTAAGTTGGCAGATGATTATTTTTTATCAGTCCAATATAATTTAGTTTATCTATTTGAAATATTGTAGTAGTTCAAGCAAAGAGGCACAACCAAAACATCATATTTAAGATGTCTTACAAGGATCAAAATTAGTTAATACTACTTGATTTGATATACATATTTTACAAAGTTTCACTCACCCAGTTTGGAGTAGAATACGTCCATGTAACAAAATGTTATTGAAATATGAAAAACAAGTTGTCACATTACATGAAACACTAATCTACAATCAATAGCAACACCTAATGTTATCATGTTGAAAACTTCAATATACAATTAGGAGATACCTGTAGCAAAAGATAACATATCTGCCTTCAAGGGTATGTAATCCTTATCTTTTCAGTTGTATATCCAAGAAATTGTTTACAATAAAGCTTTTTGAAACTGAATTCTTATTTATTTTTCACATTTTAACAATTAAAAAGGTTGATAAAGCAAATTCTTGTCTTATTCTATCCTGTACCAATTATAACGGTTGGGTGCAAAGCAAACCTTTGCAAGACGAGGTCAAGTTTGTACTTGGCCAGCCTGGGGTTTGGGACTAGAAGTTATTTTTCCTCTACACAGGTACACCCAGACATCAAGCTGCCAGTACTGTATTTAGTTGATTCAATTATCAAGAATGTTGGTGGAGCCTACACACAGAAGTTTTCTCAGAGCATTGTCAATATGTTTACCAGGACTTTCAAACAGGTAATTATTGTGAGTTTACAGTTCAACATTGTGTTTCCAATTTGTTTCTTAAACAAAACAGGCATATTCTAAAACTGCGTGTTTCTACAGGTGGATGAAAAAATCAGGTCTCAAATGTTTAAGCTTCGTGAGACTTGGCACGATGTCTTTCCCGCTACGAAGCTGTATCAACTGGATGTGAAAGTGAACTTGATAGACCCAGCGTGGCCGATACAAGCACAGCCGCAGCAGTCAAACATCCATGTAAATCCAAATTTTCTGAAAAAGGTGTTTTTTTAGTTGATTATTGTTTTGAAATTGATTTAATTAATATGCCGTAGGTGGCCCTCTGGGTCTTGTTGATACAATGCTATTTATTGCATTACAAACCATCATGTAAGCTGTAACCCCTGCTGTATTTTATCATTTTGCAAGTAGTCTGGGATTTTGCTTGGTTATGCTATGTGTCGCCCTCCATCATTCCATATGATGACTCATACACCCACATAGTTTCCATCTAAATATAATCACAGTATTCTGTCATACTTTGGAGTTATTTCTTTTAAATGAAGGGTGGTGAGTTCCGTAATCACAAATTTTCTGGGGATTCTTAAGTTCAATATCTGGATAAAACATCGCTTGCATGACTGTTAGCACATTTCTAACAACAGATTTTTCCACAGACTACAGCTACCACCAGCACTACAATCACTCCAGTTCCAGTCGTCCCTGCTGAAGAGGACGAGAAGATGAGGAATATCCTCGCCAAGAAAGAACAGGAGCTCCTCATGCTGCAGAGAAAGAAGGTGGAAATGGAACTGGAACAAATGCGCCGGCAGGTCGAGCTTGCAGAGAAAACTGTTACTAAAAAGGTAAGATTTTATTTTACATTTACTCTGATTTTTGATCCTTTGATCAAATTTAAACGTACGTGATTTAATTGTAATCAGCTATGCAAATAAACTATAATATTCGTACCAACCTACTTAGTTCGTTATTCCACCCGCCAAAGGTAGATAGTCAAGCTCTAATATTTGCATGACTGCATCATTAAAAAATTTTAGGTCATTAATGTGAGTTTACGTTTCTTTGGAATAAGATCGGTAATTAACTAATTTCGTTCATTAGCTAAAGTACCTGTTGATGTTCTGTAGATCGATCGAGTTTTGAAATAGGCAAGAGCTCTAATTTCTTTCCATTGTTACTCTAGTTATTTTCCTAGAAAGAAACCTCCCTTTCCTTTTTTTCTTCTTCGTAAATCCCCCGGTTTACGTTACGAGTACATTGAACGGGTTTGTTCGTATTTCAGAGATTATTGTTACAGGTATGTTTTATTATTATTATGTCGGAACTCCATATCTGCATTAATTGTAGGTTTATATTGTTTAGTATCTATTATAAGCTTCTCTACGAACACCAAAAATGTACAATGCAAAAAGAAAAGCACTAACTCGAGGTTTAAAATATTTACTAACAAATATAAACATTTCAAGTAAAGAACAATACATTTTTATCTAGCCTATTCTACCAGTGAACCATTTAATGTTTAAAAACCACATGTAAACAAAGAAAGTAATAATAATTTGCAATAAAACATTTCTGTGCTTCTACATTTTAAAGGACAATAGAAACAAAGGTTTAAAACTGAATACTATGGTATCTCTAATCCTTTTCCCTTTTGTTCAAAAAATTGCTATTTTTTGCTTAAATTGCTTAAATTACTATTTCTGAAAACTGCTAATGTCGCATTGTATTGTTTCTCTGCTGTTTTTTTTTTATTATGTACTCTGTAGTGTTTCTCGGCTCTTGTGGTCCTAGCGAGATTATTTATGGCTTCACCAACAACCACCCACACACAAATATTTTTCGATTCAAACCAAACAGCTTTTTGGACTGGATATTTGAAAAAAAATCACAATTTTATACATTGAATTAAAAGGTAGAATAGCGATTAGTAGATGTGGTGCAAATTAACCTCAGTAGTAATTTATTATATTGTTATTGTTGCGTATTATTTTACATATAAATACGGTATTTTAAAGCGATTTCTGGTTATCATTATAAATGGCAGCGTAGGTAATTGCGTTAATTGCTAATTTTAATCCCAGACTCATTAAATTGTTCATCAAAGGTTATTGTCGTTGACTTTATTATTTATCCATATTGTACTCATTACGACTATTAACTGATTACTAGTAATTTATATTTAGATTATTAATATTAGTAGCTAAGTGTGGCATGAATGCATGATAAGAATACGACAGGATAAGAAATACAAGATAAATGAAGCCCAATGTCTCTTCGGCATGGCATTTCGCACGAATGCATGAATGGCTAGACCGATTCTGATAATTATTTTTATGCAGTGTATGCTAAGACCAGGAGGTTTCTCTATAAGAAAATGTTGGAAGGGTATATCAGGAAATAGCAACCTGTTGATTCCTTGAGTATGCTGATGAAACAAATGACTGACTCCTGTGAAAAGTAGGTGCTAGCTGGTAGAAAAAAATATTTATTAAATATATTTAGACTCATGAAGCTCAGTAAAAACTTATGTCTTTGATGTAGTCCGTTAAAGACGAAAAAGGTTTTGTAAATCACACATGGAAACAAAAATAGACAAATAGGATACGATTATTTATAAATGCTACATTGATGGCATGTTAGGTTTATGAAGGACAATACGTTATTATAAAAGAAACAATAGACCCGTATCGTCGGCAAATTACTAAACACGTTATCATTATTTTCGACTACTTTTAAAACCTTTACAATTCTTTATAAACATTAATCCTTTGAGTACCTAGTTTAATGGGTTTTGCAGTTTGGGAAACAAAAGTTGCTTATCGTTGTGTGAAACAAAGATCCTTTGTAAATGTATGGTTTCTTTAGATATTGTTTCATGGAATTTTTTGGACTAAATGACTACCGTATCGTGTTATTTTAGATATGAAATTTGGAAGTACTAGCTTGTGAGATCTACCTGCTTCTGTCGCGCTTTTCCGTATACCTAATGTGCTATTCCAAACTATAATTTAATCTAGTATCTAATTCAGGTTTCACTCAGAACTGTAATTTTTCGACAGAGTAAGGTTTCATAACAAAATCAGGTCCAGCCGTTTTGGCGTGAAGGAATAACAAACATACATTACATTCTAAAATAATAGTAGGATTAATTCGATAAGGAGAAGTTTTAATGACTAGGCATTACAAAGGTATTGATTTAAAAAAATATTTTTATAATTGTAATAGTACAGTAAGCCTCAAATACTTTACTTAGCATTGAGTAGAGGATGTTTTCTATTGCCATTAGATGCGCTACAACTACGATTACATCGTAATTGTCATGACAACGGCAGAGCTATTTTAAATGACCTCGACGATCTAGAACTGCAAACGCGATCTCGATGATATCACTGTAATAGCCCATTATTTTATGTTTACCTATTGTAACGACACTTAGCATTGATATAACTGCGTTAGATCATTAAACGAAAACAAATATTGACAAAATCCTTCAAAATGTTTAACTTACTTTACATAACAGTGAAATTCACACACAGAAAAACCTTGCCGTATAACAATTAATACAGAAGAATATAAAGTTTTTTTTGAGTCTATAGTTTGCCACGACACGTGAGATAATTCCTGGGAGGGTTAGGACAAGTCATTTTTTTAGGTGACCCTTTCACTCAAATGGCTAATTTTGTAGAATCGAAATTTTAATGTTATGAAATAAGCAGTAAAAATGTCAAGGTCCAATAAGAAATGCTCTTGATTTGTTAACTCTAGTCTCTAGAATTCTTGTATTCTAACAACATGTAGGCGTAGTTCTGATTAGTATGAGTGTAGAGATACTGGACACGATTACATGACTGACCAACTTAGTTTTAGATTGCATGTATGTATGGCATTATAAGATTCTCCATTACGGCTACTAAGATATCGAATAGTATCGCAATAAAATGCGTAAGTGATTCACGCTGGGGAAAACCGTGGGCAATGATAAGCTAAAAGGTTATCTTTATAGAGTTCATCAACTCAATGCTAGATCTAGCTATGTCGCAATATTACTCTGGGAATGTTTGTGCTGGATACTTGTAGATATGTAGCTTTACCTAAATATATTATTCTTGTAAATAACTAGAAAAGACGTTTCAATTGATAGTTAACTTTTGACAAACACTACCTGTATTTTATGTAAATGTATTATACCCACAATTGCTATATTAAACACAATACAGACAGGAGGTACAATACATTAATTGTTTAACTCGTAGAAAAAGGTAGAAACTCATTAACAAAAGTAAAAGTTGTTAAACAATTGTGGGAAATTTTGCGATAAGGGTTAGCTCCGCCCACTTTTTGATGTCCCTGATTGGACCCCCACCCCTAATCGTCGTAATTGTCTCAGGTGCGTCTGATCATCCCTTGCTAGGTAGCTTCAGTCTCGGCAAACATTCCGTGAGGATCGTTCCAAATACTATTAACCTGGTACCCGGAATCTACCCTGTGGTATCTTGAGTCAGTGTGTGTCTAAGACATAGTTATTAGTGGTTCTGTGTCTATATTTGTGCGTTATTATCAAAATGTATACCATGACCAATCCTGATATAAAAAATGTGTATGTCCCAATGTACTATTGGAACAGAGTTTTGTACTCTTTGGTAAGTGTTTATTTTATAATATCCCAGTAATTGTTTAATTTTCAGAAAATTACAGAATTTATCTAATGTGTGATGACATTTATTTTATCAAAATTCCATGGTAATGCACATTGGTTTAGTCCAAAGTGTATGTCATTAAAGTGGCTCTCGAATCTATAAATCTTATAAGATTCCTGAACAGTAACTATGCTTCCAGGAAAAAACAGATGTGACAATATGTTATGTCGTATTTTTCTACTGTTACCAATTAATCCAATTATTTGACAAATGTACTTATTTGTTTGTTGTCCGCAAGTGACTTAGTGTGTGCAACCCCTTATCTGGCTTGCGGCGAAAGTTCAACGCTTCCTTTACATTACTTGACAAGTAGATAGTTTATTAATTTTTTTTCCAAATTTCTAAAGCTTTAATTTTTATATTTTCTTATGTTTGTGTTGGAAAGAGCGCAAATTTTACGTTAATTTATAAAGTAAACTAACTTTTGCCCGCGACTTAACACGTGGTATTACATGATTAAATTTTCATGATGGTAGAGCACATAAGAAAAGAATATTACGCTACTGTAATCGATATAATACTTCTTTCAATTAGGGGTACAATTTAAAACAAGATTCTAGTGAGTTTGACAACAGGGGCAAATTTGTTCGTATACTCATGACTAAATACATTGTGGAACGTTCTGTACACAGCGTAGAAAGACACAAGATTCCCATGCCCGTCTCTTGGGCCTAACCTGCGTTTTCTGCCAAATCGGTTTAGTTGTTCTTGAGTTTATTAGTCTAACACTGATTACTTTTATGCATAGAAAACTAGCATTCGTCCGCGACTTTATTCGCATGGCATAGTGACTTCTTGCAGATTTTTGGTTTTGAAACTATATCTCTAGTCACTTGTTCTGTACCAAATTTCACACACATAGGTTCTGTAGTTTAGGCATGAACAAAAGATAGACAGACAGAGTTACTTTCGCATTTATAATATTGAAATAATATACTTTATATTCACATTTAGTTCCAAAAAATCTAAAATTGAGTCAAATTTCTATAATTGGTTTAAATGATGACTCGAATGGTACATGTAATAAAGAGGAAAACGGAAACAACAGGTTTATGCCGCTGTTGCAATAATGTATAGGTTCTCAAACAACAATAATTGTAATTATTAATATGAATAAAGTAAATGCATATACACCGTATTAGATAGATACATATAAGCGGAGCGTTATGGCTATGCACGGTTGGTAATAAGTTTTTATATACCCAATGAGAAAGCACTGTATGCTTTCTCATTGGGCTTTTTCATTTTCAGTGAATTTAGTTTTGCCCATTGTCGAATGGGCAAAACTAGAAGAAGAAGAGAAAGAAGCGCGAAGTGATAATTCTTTCTCTCCCTTCTTTCAAATTCTGTTAAATCCTTCATTTTTTTACTTCACTTTTGAGTGCCAAGTGCGAGGTACTTTTTTTCATGGATTTCTCTTAAAAAATACAACCTTTATTCATTGATAAAACTTAATGAACCTTTATTCATATAAACAATAAACGGTGTATCTTAATTTTCTCATTAGTTCTATTCTAACTATGACCGAAAATCTTTCAGTTGCATTGTTTCGACCATATTTTGGTATCTCAGCAGTGAACCACTGAGTTAAGATAGACTGGCATCCTAATCAAAATTGGTCAGGGACAGTTTACTTATGTTTAAAACAAGTAGTTTTCTCACACTTAACATTTAATTCATAGTCAGAAACCTTTCAAATAGTTTATCTTGGAAATAACGCGTAAATGTGAAGATGGTATTGTGAATCAATACTTTATTGAACGTGACCGCAGTTTTTTATCTGTGCGTGTGGTCAGATGTAATGTACCAGGAAATGTCAACAGTATCTTAGCACGTAAAACGATAAATAACTCGTTTTGAAAGTGAACGTGACCAAATGTTGATCTTAGCCAATTCAGGTTGCATAACATTAAGCAATGTATTCCGTTGATTGACGTGATTATTAATTAATTTGCTTTCTGATAATGGTTTTGCTCAAGTGATATGACATACGACACTTCCACAACTAACATGTTATTCATACTTTTCCGTTTTCTTCTAATATTACAACCAATCGTTAATTTAGCCCTATTCAATACTTCATTTAAATAAATGAAGTATTGAATATATTGACTTGATTTGTTGATTGAATATATTTGACTAACTTATAAGACTTTTTACGACTTGGCTGTGCTATACCACCACCCGCCTCTATTTTTTCCTAATTATTCTAACACCTATTTGAAGATATTTCTACATATATGCTTTATCTTCTTTCTACCTCAAAGCAGGGAATCAAACCATAATAAACCAATATTATCCATGCATAAAGTAAAATAAGTTTCATTATCCTCCTCATATTTAATTATCTATGAAAAAAGATACTAATCGATGTCACATTCTTTTGCTTGTTAATTTTTTCATTATTTTTACCTATCAATAACATTAATTTATGTGTATAAATGTATGGAATTTTCCATGTCTTATTGTAGCCATATTTCGTTACTGGTTTTATTCATTTTTTTTTGTATGATTAGGCTGGAATAGGCTTATTTGTGTTTCACCTTTGTATACGTAACTAAAAAATAATAATAGATACGGTAAAACTACACTACCCTTCAACTTCTATGTAACCGATGCTAGGCTTGGTCTTACATACAATTTTCAATCTAGAATAGAATCTTTATATATAAAAATTTCGTGTCACGTGTTTGTCCGCGATGGACTCCTAAACTACTAAACCGATTTTAAATTTGATTTGCTATCCATATTCATTTTGATCCAATTTGAAAGATAGGATAGCTTACATCTCAATTTATAGTCAAAATCAAATCAACAGCTAGGCGTGGCTGGGTCTGCTAGTAGAATATAAAAGTAATTGTGTGTTTGCAGTGTAATGAATGATGCATTCGTTAAATTTTGCGTGTCAACCTGTAGCTTCCTTAGAGTGGTTTCGACTGAGATAAAGAGACTCAAGTGTAAAACCTGTTTATTCGTCACTAAGCCATAAATTATAGAGATATAGTTTAAGTCTAAAGGTCGCAGTACTAATCGCGGTGTTGTTCCAGGTACCGGGCATAACCCCTTCGAATTCAAACGCAGCTAATATGGCTGTGCCCACTCCTGCTCCTGCGGCCGCCATATTGCCTGAAGTGACAACCAATATACCCGTTAAGCAGCGGCTCGGACCAGTAAGTTTTCAGTGTATTTACATTCTACAGAGCAACGGCTATTAAAATTATTTTAGTATTAAGCGTCGGTTGTTGAAGTCATCCGATAACCATTTATTTTGTTGCAGCCGGTACCTAAAAGCACGGGTCGTATCGCCCCAGTGAGTGCAAACCTAGCGAGCGCTCGGCGCGACCCGCGGCTGGCGCGCCTGCAGCAGGCGGGCGCCGTGCCCTCCGCGCCGTCGCCACCCGTCGCCGTCGTAGCGCCCGCCGCCGCGCCGCTTGCGCCCATCGCGCCCAACGTCTTCGATATCAAGCCACTGGAGCGCGTTACCAAACGGAAGAATGTAATTACTATTGACGTGAGGCAAGACGCTGAGCCTGCCAGGCCCGTTACAAGGGATCCGCGCCGTCGCGACCCGCGTCTTGAGAAACGCGACCCGCGCCGTACCCGCCCGCGTGAGGAACGGGAAAGGCGACGCGAAGAACTGCGTCGCGCTGAATCGGATCGCAATCAAACCGATACTAAGCCCGAGCCCGAGCGTAACCCGATGCCCGCTTATGTCGATAAGCTGCCCGACCCAAAGAAAGTAAGCAAAATGCCGCCGATACCTAAAATTTCGCGGCAGGAAACCAAACGAGACGGCGAAGCCGTGCCTGCCAAGCGCAAGCGAGACAATGTACGCGCAGAGCGTAGGCGGCGGCGCGAGGAGCTGGCGCAGAAAGAAAGCGAACGCACTAAGCCAGTGCCGGCCGCGGTGCCGGCGGCGCCCCCTGCCGCCGAGAAGAAGCGCGCATCTCCCGAGCTGGTGGCGTTCAAGGAGTTACGCAACTACCACAAGGAGCATTACATGCGCCGCAACCGCGACAAGTCCGCCAGTCCGGAGCACCCCGAGTCGGGCGCGGAAGGCGCCGTGTCCTCCGAGCCCCCAAGTAAGATATACCTCTCTGTTGCGCGCGTCGCCCGCGCCCATGTGATATTAGATATAAGCCGAAGCGTGCAAACGCCTGTTGTGTGGAAAATAAAATGTTTTTTAACTCTTGGAGTATTCATATTGACGTTTTCAACAGCGCACTGTACCCTTCTCTGCCAGAACTCGTATGAGTTCTAATACCTTACTTATCTATTGACTATCGAGAGTAAATATAGTCAAGCCTCAATTCGTTATTCAGTATTTATCGTTGCACTATAAAAATAGTTTTCAATTACAATCTTACGTTTGAGTGAAGCATTACATGTACTGTAACATTATTTTGGTTGAGTAGTCTCGTCAACTGTTACGTTAATAAGTCGTAAAATATCTTTAATTCATTAATTTTGATGATACAAAATGTACGACGACGATTTTTTGCAACTCGTCATACTAACATTTAGTTAATTAAATATGACGTAACATTCAAAATACAATGATATACAATAGAAAATGCAATTCTAAAATCAAACAAATGACAATGGACAAATCGAAATGTTGGACAACAATCCTGGATCTGAAATGGACGTCGCCTAATGAAGTCTTAAGACATCGCTGGACTTGCAGCATCGGAATCACTATCAACCGACAGGAAAACAAAAAGTCCTTGTATCCACCTGCGCGAAGCAAACAAAGTCGATCTTTTCAAGTCATGGAAAGTTTGTTACTTACTATAGGGAACTAAAAAAGGCCCAGTGAGTATCGTAAGTATATCAACCTAACTAGGTTTGCTGTTATTTTAGTGGTCTCTGGTTTTTTTTAAATATTTTTATAATTAGTAGTTAAATTGTTTTGATTTGCTAGTGTTGTGTATGGCAATTTTTGAGCAAGGGGGGTTATAATAATTGTGTTTTGGGTGACTGAAACATGTTCTAATACGTGCCGTGTTAAAATAATGATCTCGTCGAAAAAAACCAAGCGAAATCAGCTAAAATTACTTTTTAAACTAAATGTTTGTTTTCGGGGACGTAAAAATTACCTTCGGTAATTTGTGGAAGATCCCTTTAGTATGAGTAAAATAGTTAGAATTAACCTCAGGTCCGGATTCGTTTTAATTCATAAAACTCCAAGCTCGTTGTGTCTCAAATTGGCACGATTGAAAGGTTAATTAGCCATAGATGGTGCTGTTCCATTGACTTTGTTCAGGAGCATGAGGTTTGACAGTTTTCTTATATGATACAGCATAAGGTTCAATTTACATTGCCAAATATTTTTTTTAATGGGTGAAGTTTGAAAAGCCTTGACAAATGACAAAGAAGTTGATTCATGGATTGTGTGAATAATGATAAGAGAATTCAATATCTAACGGGGTAGAATAAAAAAGACGAATCATATTTAGAATAAGACGAAACTAAGTTTGTGATTATAGCAGTAAGCGGACAAAAAATCTTCACATAATTGTTGTCATCCTCTCACCTAGACTGTCCCTTCAGCTTTTCTTTACCTTGCTACTTTCAAACTTCATAGTAATTTCACATTCTCATTTATTCAATTATCCCATTGTTGCGCCAGCTTTGCATTTCCTTAGTGAGCTAATTAAAACTATGAATTTGGAGGCTTTTTAACTTTCCCTTACTTTTTATTTATTTATTTCTACATATTCCTTTGCCATTACAGGTAACTTTACCTAATTCGACATAGTAACTTAAAATATGTTTCCTATTGACCCTAAACTTATAATAAACAACATAACTACCTATAATAAACTTAGTTCCTATAAACTTATTTAACTTTAAATTACAAATTATATTTCCTTACAATCAGCAGAAGTTGAGATTCGTGATACACCACGTTTAAAATAAATTCTCAAACATACATCATTGTCTATTTATTTAATTTAGTCTCCTGTAATTTAAATCACTATTTCTATCTGTGATTAATTTTAAGCTGAGGTTCTAATTTGCGAATGAATATATTTCATTTGTCGTAGAGTGTGTTTCTTTAATAGGGTCATATGCTCAAAAATATTGTTTCGTTTTGTGCTTATTAAATGAAGGATGGGATAGGTTTAATATTTGTAGTGGGCACATATACAGGAGCCCAGCCACTTGGGCTCCTGTTAAAAATATATCTTTATTTCTACAAGATTTCCAGAAATTATTTGGTGACAGTTTGTCCGTTATGATAATTTAGTCCTAGTATAATAGTTGTGTGTGTAAGCGCTTATAAAAAATAAACGAATGTCAGTATATAGGATAAAAACAAAAAAAATAATTTTGTGAACATTTCTCACGAGTGGTCAGACATGGTTACGGAAGAAAATTATGCCATCGTTTCATTGAATGTATTTATCCTTATCCAATTATTTATATTATCCTGTTACTAACTTTAGCATAACAATTCATAATATAAAGAAGGAATTTGGATATTAAAAACTAAAAGTTCTCAGCAACTATTACATTTTGTGTCCTAAATGAGGAGCTACAAATAATATTTTAATTTGTTACTTCATACATCTTATTTTTTTAATCAGATGCTTTAGGTAGGTCTAGTAATCTGGACTTCTTCCATTGTAAGGCCAGGTATTTTGTGATAGCCTCACTTGACTAACGTTTACTCTCGGACGTCAATGGATACTCTGTTTTATCCTCTTTTTGGCATAAGCTATTCAAATAACGCTGAATGTCTGATCGCAATCTGCTGTCTTGTAAGCATCTTTGTTGAGATTTTCTAGAATTATTTTTTTTATATTATAGTTAGTTGGTAATTTTATTATCTAATTATAGTCTGTAGTTATTTTAATTATTGCGTTAGAAACAAAATTATTAATATATTTGTGTTATTACTTTCTGAAAGAATAGTTGATTATAAAAAATGTATATTATTTGTGGTTGCCAATCTTGTCAGCCGTTTAATTTTTACCTATCTTTAGGCAAATTTTCATTTAGATTATAATTATTCTTATCATATTATTTTCATGTTTATTTTAGTTTTACTTAAGGTAATAAAATATGTTAATTACATCACTTTAATTATTAATACTTAGTAGCTTACGTCCATGTGAAATTACTAGAATTATCATAATTGTTGTCGCCATCTTTAATCCTATAAATAATAGTAATAAGCGCTTGATTAGTTATTACTCTAGGTTATAAAAATCTCAACAAAGTTGTATACAAATCACGCATTTCGCTTTCAAATAATCAGTAAGAAATATTGGTTGGAAATAAAAGCCAAAGTAATTATATTCCCTCTTAAAACTTATTTAAGTATTATATAATACTAATATGTTTAACAAGTGATAAATAAGACATGCAAAATGTCACAAGTGTTAAAAGTTTAGGAGATGTCACTTCTCTTATGGTTTCTTTTCCTGAAAACATTTCGAACTTACACTCAGCTTCGCGGAGATGCCGCTTGAGGTAAAAAGGTTTACGGTAAACTGTATACGCCAAAATAAACTTCAAATGCGTTACATCAACAGCCGTGTAAAGGAAAATGTTTATTTCAGGTGTTCCAGAAATCATTACAGAAACCAAGGATGTAGACCTAAGAGTTTTGCCTGCCGTAGTAACGGAGGCTAAAGCGGGTTCCGTAGGACAGAAGCGGTCTTCTACAGAAACCGTGGAAGTCAAAACCAAGAAAACTAAGATTGACAAGTTTGATGTGTAAGTTTACTATTGCTTTAGCATTTTATATATTTATTTAATGTTATTTTTATCCTAATTATTTACAGTATACTGACGTTTGGACAATATTTCAGATTGTTTGGTAACGAAGACGTAGACTTACGCCAACTCCCCCAAGTAGATGAGGTGAATGCCCCACCTCCACCTTCCATCACTAGCTCGCCGAAGTCCGACAACAAACTTGATGAAGATGTACCCATGGAGTCACCATCTAAAGCCTCACCAAAAAGGGATTGGAACGAAGTCAAGAAGAGGGATGACAAGAAAACCCCTTCGAAGCTTGACATCGTCAGGGCCAAGTTTGCTGAAGTTACGAAAGGCAAAGATAGGCTAGGCCGTCCACTACTGTTCAGTAAATCGCCAAGTAAGTGTTTTTTTTTTTTCAGTTTTCTAGTATTCTGATATTGTTTTTTTCTTTTTTATAATTGAAACTTACAACAACCTTTAGTTTATAGATATATGGTTCATAAAAAGACTACCACTTATAGGTTAATAGTATGTAGTTTTCAGTTTTAACAAATTTTTACACAAGCTAATTTAACATTTGTTTTGTTATAGGTATTGAAAGAGAAAGGCGGCGTACTTTGTCTGGAGAGGATTCTGATCTCAGGGAAGATGATGAGCAGGGCTTTGTTGAAAACAAGAAATCCATTTCAATTATCATGTCGCAAGCTAAGGAACACTTCACGGACGGGCAGTTGGACAAGAACCAGTACAATACATTAATGTACCAAATACTGCAACTCAATGAGAAGCTTAAACTGAAAGAAGCTAAACAGAGAGAGTCGCTAGAATTATCAAAAAGGAAGCTTAAAGCTACATTAGAAGAAAACAAAAAAGTACCCAGCCCGAAATCTTCGCCTAATGACCGAAACACATTCGGTGACATCGATGAGAGAATCACGCCGTCCGTGTTCCTAGACACGCCACCCGATAGCCAAGGCATGTTGCAGGACTCCGATATGCGAATCGGTGCTGAAGCCCTTGACATGAAGACAAAGGGCTTGCTCCCCATCCCTCCCATGATGCCGATGATTGGCTCCTACCAACAACAAATGCCGTGGCGAGGACCAAGACCACGGGCAGGTGAAGAATACGGGCCAAGACGGTTCCGAGGTCCAATGCCACCATACTACAGAGCAGGAAAGTTTGACAAGAGGGCTGCTAGACCGCCTTTTGACCCTCGAATGGCAATACCTCCTTTACCTACACCCAAAATAGGTATGTGTCAAGGAGAGTGCCCCCTAACACCTTATGAACGAAGCGAGTCTCCGCCTCCACTAGGAGCTCCAGGCTTCGCAATCCCACCAACAGACTTTAAAGTAATTGAATATATTGACCAAGATCCCTTCAAAACTATCCAAATAGATGGAATTCCAAGAGAAATAAGATTTTACGGCAACACCGCGGTAATTATGCTGGATTGGGATGACCCAAGGGAAATAAAGTTCCTGCCTGGATGCAGAAGAGTTACGTTTGACAACAAAGACTCTGTAGTTCTCAATTTCAATGAAGGCTACAAACAAGTAGAATTTGACGACCAGGTATTCGACATTAAATTTGGTGCGCCGACTAGAGAACTGTACATAAACGGTAGGTGGTACGAATGTTTCTTCGGCGGCCAGCCATTAGGCGTAATTATTGACGGTAGGCCAAGACTGGTTCATTTGGAAGGGCCGATGCCGCAAGTGGACATTGGCAAAGCCAAACGGACCGACTTGGTAGCCGGTAAAATCAACCTCATCGTGAACGCCACACAAATGCACCCAGTATACTTGGACGCGAAAGTACAAAAAATCTTGGTGAACGGACAATATCTGACTGTACGCTTCGTAGATTCATTGCGCACAGTTTTAATTAATGAGCAACCTTTCAAAGTGGAATTTGGAGGCCTTCCCAAACCCATTGTTGTTGGCAGTGAGAAATATTTTATTAGATTCTCCGCTCTGCCGAGGAACATTAAGCCTGGACATGTTCAGATCGCTAATATGGAAGGCATTGGCTTGCCACTGGTACCAGCCGTCAAAAAAGTCGATGATGTTAAAAAGGAAAGTGAAACAGCTATGGAGGTTGACCAAGAACAACCTATAACGCGCCCGGTTAAGACGCCCAGCCCTGAGCTCAACCCTGAGAGTTTAGGTCTGGACATGTTGGCGAGTGTCATGCCGTCCAGTACAGTACCAGCCTCTGGATCGGAGTATAGTGTGGCCGAGCCTCTATTCTCCAAAACAGACAAGATCCCCGGACTCGAGACACCTATGGAAGAGAAACCAGCTCCAGTACTGCCGATATTAGGCAACATTAATGTCAACGACCTTTTCGCGAAGCTTGTGGCGACAGGCATCGTCCAAGTGCCCAGCACTAGCCAACCAGAGCCGCAGGAGGAAGCGAAGAGCAAACCAGAGGAAGTAAAGAATAAACCAAAGGAAGACAAGAATATAATTCATAAAGTAGACTTTATGAAATCTGAGACATTTAGAGTGTAAGTATTTTTTTGCTGTTGACTGATAACATTGGTTTTTGTTGTTGTTAAAATATGCTAAACGTTTTGTTTCTTCTTTAGTAAACAGCCAGGCCTGGTGGCTAAGTTGTACGGTGGGATGCAGTGTTCGGGATGCGGGGCACGGTTCCCCCCCGAGCACACGGTGCGGTACTCGCAGCACCTGGACTGGCACTTCCGGCAGAACCGACGCGACCGGGACTCCGCGCGCCGTGCGCACTCGCGACACTGGCACTATGATCTCTCAGATTGGGTGCAGTACGAAGAGGTCGAGGACTTGGAGGAGAGAGGTAATGTATTCAAGCATTATTTGTTTTTTATTTTTCAATCATCACATATTACTCGACCTTTTTTGTAAATGACAAGCGACCCGTCGCGACTTCGCACGGGTGCATTGCTGGTCCTAATTTTCTCCACTATTTTATGAATGTGATTATAAATGTAAAACCTTCTCTTCAGTCACTATAGTTTTAAAAAATTAAGGAAACAGGGACTGAGAAATCGACTTTGGTTTATACTATGTAGAGAACTATGGAGTTCCCTATTATCTTTAACATGAATCTTTTTCCTGTTGTTTAGAAAAAAGTTGGTTTGAGACGGGTGGCAACCCGGCGGTGGCTGGCGAGGGCGCGGCGGAGACGCCGACGCCGGCGCCGCTGGCCGCGCCGTCCGCCGCCGCGCCCGCGCCCGCCACGCACTGCTGCGCGCTCTGTGGAGACGTCTTCCAACAGTTCTACAACGAGGACAAGGAAGAGTGGCACCTCAGAAACGCAATCAAGCACAACGACGATTACTATCATCCACTCTGCTTTGAAGACTATAAAGCGTCACTAACAAAGGCTGAAGAACCAAAAGTTAAGGAATCGTCTGATGATGTCGCGACTGAGGAGAAGATGGAAGAGGAAGCTATTGAAATTAAAGATGTAGATGAAACTGCAGAACAGTCTGACAACGAGTCTGTTGTGGAAGTCGTCGAGGACCCGAAGGAGTTGGATCCCGTTGAAGTGAGTATTCAATTGAACGCATTTAACTGAACCACGCTGTTTTACCTCTTTACGGGGGTAAAATATTTTTTGTATTTCTTCTTTTTATGTTAGTTTTATTTGAAACTCCATAGATTGACGAGGAAGAAGATGATGAAGATGACGTGGTATTCAAAGCGGAGCCAGTGGTCCAGGTTGTGGTGGAAGACGATGCTGACACGGATGACGAAGTCGCTGCTGAAAGAGCTGAAAGAGATCGCCTCGCAGAGATAGACTTCAGCAAGATCAAGGTCAAACAGGAACCGATCGATCCCGGTGAGTAACTCCACACCATTCATCAATTTTCTTAGGGAAGGCGAAATATTGTATCTATTGTAATATTGTAATTAAATATTTTAAGCAACTTCATTGAATGAAATTAATACTTCCTTTATTCACATGAATATTTAACTAATACATCTTTTCTTTCCACTACATTAGATGACGAACCAATAGTAACAGCAGAAGAAGAGACTATCCAAGCACGAATAGACCACACACATCCTACAGTAGAGTCATCTATTGATGGGAACCTACAACTAGATGCAGCAAGTATTCCTACAGCCTCCATACCTCTTGGAGGAATCCGTATCAACATCTCCAAATCCTTGCCATCCTTTATGAACAACAACCAGGAAGAGAAGATCCCAGAAGACACAAGTGCTGATGACGAGCCCTTGCCTCCAGGTGAGGAACCTGAACTAGAGTATACCCTGAAACCAGCTCTCGTAGGTGTCCAGTTCAGTAGACAACCCCCAGTCAACAAAGGCAATGAACTCTCTGGATTGTGCTCTATTATGTAAATTTTGCAGCCTTCAATGTGCAAATACAGGATCTGTATAAAATGTTAGTTGAATTAGCATTGGTTGTACTGAAATTATACTTAATAGTTGATACATTTTGAATGTGCTGTGTCTGGTGTATTGATGTGTTTAGAATAGGTTTTTTTGTAAAACCAACTAATTTAATCAGTAATTTGCTTGTTGATTTATATTTAGTCACTATTTAAGACATTGTACATTTGAAATAATGTTTAACGATAAAACTATAGACTGATATTATAATATAATCAAATTCGTAAAAGTAGAAAAAATGTTTTAAACTATAAAAATGCAATAACTAGGTTATGTCAATCAATTAATGTTACCATCGAGGAATGGCCAATCAATTTGTGAAATTGAATCAAAATGACTGAATTAGTTGGTTTGTTGTGATTGAATTTGTGCCGATTAGGGCAGTGGCTTTTGTCTCTTTGGTAATTTTCCTAGTGTAATACATAAAAATATATGCATTCACTGTTGAGAAGAACTAAAAGTTGTATAATTAGATGCTCAAAAATTTACTAGTTTTCTATTGTAAGCTTTTCTACTTCTTACTTTTCTCTCTCGCTTTATTAGTTGAGTTGCCGGAATCGCAGTACACTCTAGTCGAGTAAAGTATTAACAAGATTTAGATTTTCGAAGTAGCCACTGTACTCCTTGACATATATTAATCGTCTAAAAGTGGGTGTTCTCTACATACCTCTGTGGAATAAAAGACGGTAGGACTTACCTACTAGTTATACAAAATTACACAATCTATTTTACATAATTATTATGTATTAACATTTATACAGAGTAACTGATGTTTGCTACCAAGAGTGAATGCATGTGAAAATTAACACAATACTCGATAGCTATTTAACGTTTTTTTTTTCCCTTTATCATCTTGAAAATATTTTTATGTCACTTTGTCAGCATTGTGTCTAAAGAGATTAAGAGGCTTGGAATAATCGTACAGATGCTAGTAGGGACATCACCATAATCCATTATTTCAACTTCATCAAAAACGATAAAAACTAAAAGTCTATTAAAAATAAGTTGAACCTACAAGCGTCTGTACTATGAACCTAGATTGTAGTATAGAGAGATTTAACGAAATACCTCGGTAATGGAGAATCGCTGTTTAAACGTAGCTGTAGCTGATGGAACAGAGTTTCATTGAATCTTGTGCAAAACATATGGAAAGGTGTTCTATGTCATTGTATCTCCATGTTTTAGAATAAATAAGCATGTTTTGTCGTTTTGTGCAGTTTGTTTCATAAGACTCATCTAGTTGCAATTAGGTGTGACAATTGATAACAAAATACACCTTTGGAATTTCCATTGATGAACCATGTCCTCTGCAACTGCCATTTATTTATATTATTCTAGCGAATGTTGTTTCTTCCAATATAATCAGTATATCAAATAATTTGACTTTACATTTGCAATGGAGTCTGCCTGCATTATAGCCTTCCATATGAAGCCACGCAAGAATTGTTAAAACGAAATGTGATATTAAATTTAAGTTAATGACTTCTTTAGCAGCGAACTTGCGTTTTGTTTGACGAATTATTTTTGTATATCTTGTAGTGAGTGTAAATATCTGAATAGCCTGTCTCTGTAAATATTTAGAGTAATGTATAAGGGTACAAATTACAAGAATTGGTATGATTGAAGAATGTGTAAATATTTAGTTATATAGAATCTCTTTGCAGGGTTTTATTTCCTTGAGGTGTGTTTGGTTGCCACATCAGTGGTTTTTTCTTTTTGTATGAAAATAAAAAGTCCATCTTAAAAATAAAAAATAAATGTAATGTTTAAAAAAAGTGGTGTATGTTTATAATATAGTTTAGGTTTATGGTAATCGGAATTAACTTGTCAATCAACTCTTTATCACATGTTGGAACTTTAATCACAATTGTTTGTTTGTTTAGTTTACAATGTGTAAATAAATATTTACATCATGATTGCTATCTTTGATTTAACTTGACCCTATCTGAAAGTAAAATTAAAAGAACACAAATTACACAGTTTATTTATTTATTTATTTATTTATTTATTTATTTAATAAATGGTGAATCAACAGCTACATTATACAATTTTAGCAGAAAAATAGTGACATTGAGCCACTTACAGATTCACACGAATAGTGCCAGAGTAGTTAACAACTAAGACCAAATTAAAAATTTTAAATATAATCAAAACAGTAGGCACACCGCAAGAAAATTATATAAAGAAAAAATGATGTAAACATATTTGAAAAAACATAAATTAGTTATTAAAAAATTCTCCACTTATCATGGTTCTAGCTTTTCTCAGGCTTGTACAAAAGATATCTACATCATGCTTGCTACTGATGTCGTTAAAGGTACGACAAGCTCGACACAAAAATGAGCTCTGCCTGTAGTTACTATTTGCAACCGGGGGACAAAGAGGTGTGTGCTTCCTAAAGGATTTCGAGGGAACATTGAGAGACAACTTTTCAAGGAGTTCAGGGCAATCAACCCTACCGTTTGCTATGGATAGGATATAAGTAACGTCAGCTATCTCACGACGTTTATAAAGTGGAAGAAAGTGAAATTGTTAATGATTTAACAACTTTATTAATAAATTACATTCCACTTACATACATGTACATTAACAACACTCAAGCATTTTTGCTTTACTTTACAAGATGACATGTATTGTGTTTGAAACAAATAGTCACTACATTTCTAATAAAAATACATAATTATAAATCCTACATATCGCAATTATGTGGCCATCTCGGAAAAGGAAGAGTGTCTTTAATATTACTGACATTACATAACACTTGAAGTAATCTTTCCAAGCCCAGACCATAGCCTCCTGTGGGAATGTTACCGAATTTGCGAAGTTCTAAATACCAGTTCAATCTATCTGATGGTAACTTGGACTTAAGTTTCTCATAGCTATCTTCCCTCAGGCTTCCACCTACTACTTCTCCTGTGATGGGTGTTAGAAGATCGAGGGCTTCAACCTGAAATAAATAATTAGAAATATCACTTTTAAATTTTAAACTCTAAATTTTTAAAGAATTAAAACTGTGCCAATGACAAAGACTGATTAAATGGTTTTGTGGTTGTGCAAGACTGCTAAGTTTAGTGACTTCAGGTCTAATTCATGGGTCTAAAAAATAGTAAATAAATTTTATAATATGACATGGGAGTTGTATCATAAGATACTGGCTTAAGGCCTAGCAGGGATTGAAAAGTGTCATGCACAATACCTTTGTATTATCTTCAGAGCATTCCTTCATATAAAATGACTTCATATCCTTTGGCCACTTGACTATAAAAACAGGAATACCATTGCAATACTCAACCAGAGTCAGCTCCTGTTCTTTATTGATACCTTCATCAGTTAAAGCTGATCCTTTCTTCCTCAATATCTGTCTAGCTTCATCATAGGTAAGTGTAACAAACTCTTTATCTACCCAACTTGGAGCTTTGTTGTGTTTATCTACCAGAAAGAGGTCAGCCTCATTAGTGTTGCGAGTTTCAATAAATACATATTTCAGTAGATCTTCTATAGCTCCCTGTAGGTGGCTTAGAGTCTCACAAAAGGCTAGTTCAGCTTCTAACATGTAAAATTCAGACAAGTGAAGCCTTGATCTTGAGTTTTCAGCTCTGAAAGTAGGCCCAAGTGTATAAACATTACCCATTCCTCTACACACTGCTTCTAAATGCAACTGGCCTGAGACTGTGAGGAAAGTTTTTGAACCAAAATACACAGAGTCTTTGTCTTTGTTCTCTTGCAACATTGCCTTTATTGTAGCCTCACTATCAGGCTGTACTTTAAACACTTCTCCAGCACCTTCACAATCATTTGATGTTAATACTGGACTGTGGATGTTGGTATAACTATTTAAGGCAAAGTAATCATATATGTGCTTAGTAACAGCACTCCGTATTCGCAATATAGCTGAGGTGTAATTCGTTCTGGAACGTAAGTGTAAGTATTGGCGTGTATATTCCGGTGGATGTGTAGTCCTAGGGTTAAATGGATAACCATCTAATACTACGCAGGTTCCTAAAACTTTGACATCCTCTGCGACCAGTTCCAACTGTCCCCTGGGACTTTTGGACAATTTGCCAGTAATACTCACTGAAGAACCATAAGTTAATGAATCGGACGCAAGATTTTTTGGGATAACAATCTGTAGTTTTTGAGCACAAGATCCATCACTAACATCGGCGAATATAAGGTCTTTCTGTTTCCGTAAATTCTTGACCCAACCCTAAAATGAAGGAAGAAAGTAGTTAGTATATTGAATTTAATCTTTGTTGTTTTTTATTTAATTTTTAATCATATTAATTAACCTTTATCTCGGTTATATCGCCGACATTTGGTTTCTCTAAAACTGCAGATATAACACTGTATTTTCTTGAAATCTCTTTATTTCTAATAAAACTTATTAGTTTCCTGTAGCAACTACTTCGAGATATCATTATTAATATTTAAAATTTATTTGAATTAATATATGACTTTTTTGGTTAGAAAAATAATAACAACAGCTGAGACTGACGACTTTTAATAAACTGTCAATGTCACCTGTCACTGTTACCATCAGAAACAAAAGTATGCCTACAACAATAAAGCCCAGATTCCCAAAGAAAATATTACTTCTCATATTTATCGGTTAAGACCGGTTTTCAGCCCGTGCCTAGTTTGCATAGCTGGCAAGTTTTTTTACCTGTCAAATGTCATTCATTCGGCAAATCATGCACGTTCGATTTGTTGCGTTGTGAACAATTTGTGTATTTAATTTAAATATTATATTTATCTGTGTTTTCATTAATTAGTCTATAACGTAAGTACTTCTACAATATATATTCTATAAAAATATTATTATTTTTCTATGAATACCATGGTGAAACTGTTGAACTATTAGTGTAATAATTTTGTTAATAATTGATGATTGAAACTGGTTTTCCGAGTTATTGTGTCCTTGACCATCGTGTTATGTTAATAAGGATACATAGTACTTTACGAAAAAACGATATTTTCGATATTTTTAATTTGATCGAAGTACCAAAAAAGTGAATAGCATGGCCTAGTGCTCCACTTTTCTTACTCAAAAAAATACTTTTGAATAGCACTTTCTACTAGAACGGTGGTCACGTAAACGCATTAAGTTTGCGTTTAATCGTCGTTTAAATTTTCCTCTATGTCCAAATGAGAATGTGTTACTGGTTTTTATCTATTGTTATCTGATAAACTGTAGCAAAGTGAAACTCAGTAGTTTTTCTTTGATTTGATAGTTTCATGAAAGTCAACAACGAAAAAAGTTGTTTGTAACATCTATTTTCCTTATTCCATATTTAATTGAGTTAGTATTAAATTTTCTAATGAAGTGCATTCTATTTCTGTTTTTAATTACTTTAAGTGACTTAAGTTTATCCAACTACAGACAAGAAGTTTGTTGTTATTACCTTAATAGCTGTAGTAATTGTTATTTTTCTTGTAGAAAATGGCTGAAACCGAACCTCAAGCGGGAGATGCTGGCCCACCCAAGGGTATGCCTGCCCTGAAGGCACATGTAAATGCTAACAAAATAGATGTAGCTCTATGGGCCATACGAGTTCTGACTGTACTCTTTACCATAGGATATGTACTGCCTTTATTCAACAAGTAAGTACTGGATAATCTTTATTTTGTTGAGGTTGCATAGCACTAGTGAAAAGCTCTTTGGTACATTGCTAGGCAACTAACTGTTAGAAAAATTTAATGTCACTCGTGAATAAAAAGAAGATCATGTCGAATGTGTGTAATATATAAAACTAAATAAATAAACAAATAATCTAAATATTTTGTAACCAAATAAACCTAAATTATCGCTATAAAGTGTCAGTGTTGTCATACTGGAGAAAACCCCTACTATCTAGCCGAAATCTAAAGTGGGAAATACATCGATCACGATTTGGTCTCCGGAGCTTCCAGATTGGTAAGAAAATAAGTAGACCACGTTTAAATAGGTATTGGGACCCACCGCCACTGGACGACTGAAAAGTGCCATGGATTTCTCAACGAAATTAGAGATCGGAAAACTAGAGGGCAAAAACAATTGGCAAACATGGAAGTACAAAATTTCAGTCATGCTTGAGGGTACGGAAGGTGCTTTAGAAGCAGTAGAAAATAGACTTCCAATGCCAGTTTTACCACCTGGTGCAGGAGATGCTGCTCAAAGCACTTATAATGCTGCAATGGCTAAATATAAGAGGACTCAAAGCGGTGCACTCCTGATGCTGACAACCAATATGACTGAAGAAACGTTAAAGAAGGTTATGCGTTACAAAACGGCACACGAAGTTTGGGCAGAACTGCATCGACTTTTTGATAGGCAGACAGAGGACAGGGCTTACAACTTGTGTCTTGAATTCTTTGGGCTAAAACGGGATCAAGAGGATGATATTCCTACACTTCTGTCAAAGCTAAAGAATTTATGGAACGACCTAGTAGTGGAGATCCAGAAAGTAGACGCAACAGCTAAGCTGCCTGATCTATTCCTTATCTGCAAGGTTTTACATATTCTGGATGACAGGTATTTTAATTTTAAGTCGAGCTGGTTAATGCTGAAGCAGTCTGAGAAAACGATCGACAGTCTTACGAGTCATCTCTGCGCATTTGAAAGAGATTTAGGTGGTCCAGAGAGCACCATCCAAAAGGAAGCACTGGTGACTACACCTGCAGAGCAAAAGAGTAAGCACAAGAAGGAGAGAAATGATCTGAAATGTAACTACTGTTCCGGTAAAGGACATAGAGTTAGACAGTGCAAGAAATGGATAAAGGATGGAAGACCACCAAAGCCAAGCACGTCACATTCAGACATTAAATCTAACCAAGTGCAGAACTTATCGCTGATGGTGAACGCATGCACAGTTAATCAAATACAAGATAAAGAATCTTGGTATGTTGATAACGGAGCAACCACGCACGTAGCCGTTTCAAGAAAGATGTTTACGGATTTTCGTGAATTCGATTCAAATCACACAGTAACTACAGCGGATGGGACTGTGATTCCTGCAGTTGGAATAGGTTCTATTAAAGTTGAATCCAAGGTCAACGAAACTAAAGTCCATATTACTCTTGAAGAAGTCTGGCTAGTACCATCACTCACAAAAAATCTCTTTTCACCGTTGGCGGCACAAGACAGAGCGCAGAACAGTATTTTTACATCAACGACAAAAAAATGCAAGTTGGAAATTGAAGGCATGACTAAAGTCGTTGGCAGGAGGATCCCAAAGGGAGGCCTTTACAAGTTGGACTTTAAAACGGTAATTCCAACAACACCGAGAGCTATACAGGTAAATGCTGTCACCGGTTCCAATATGCTGCAGCTCTATCATGAGCGTTTTGCACATCAGGACAAGCGGCATGTAATACGCGTCGTAAAACGTGAATTAGGCGTGAACCTCAAGCCTGATAATATTAAATGCGAAGGCTGCATATATGGGAAGTCCCAAAGACAGACCTTTGGAACCAGGGAAAGAGCTACTGTATGTGGAGAGCTAATCCATACAGATGTATGCGGTCCTTTTGCACCAAGCATAACTAAACTCCGGTACTACGTATTGTTCAAGGACGACTACTCAGGCTACCGTATGGTTTACTTCATACGTCAGAAGTCAGAAGTCAAGGACAAGTTGCTGCAGATGCTGAAAGAGGCAAAGAATGCTGGGCATAATGTGAAAACCTTGCTTAGTGACAACGGTGGCGAGTTTGATAATAAGGACGTCAAGAAAATACTACAGGATTTTGGTATACAGCACAGACTGACAATGCCTTACACACCGGAACAGAACGGGTGTAGTGAGCGTGAGAACCGAACCCTGGTAGAGGCCGCGAGAAGTATGATGCATGCAAGGAATGAGTTACCGCAAATTTTGTGGGCGGAATTGATTAATACCGCAGCGTATGTTCTGAATAGAACAGGCCCAAGTCGAGTGACAGACAAAGTTCCATACGAACTATGGCACGGCAAAAAACCTCGAATATCACACCTCAAGGTTATTGGTAGTGAGTGTTATGCACATATCCCAAAGCAGAAGCGTAACAAAATGTCTAAAAAAGCCATGAAAGGCATTCTTATTGGCTATGAAAACGACGATGGATATCGTGTGTGGGACGGACATCAAACATTCAAATCCAGAGACATAACTTTTCAAAGTAATGTTGAATTCACATTACGGTTAGGGTCTGAGGATGCTACTGATACTACTGAGCAAGATGATGATGGAGAGTTTGTCGATGCTGAAGGGGAAGAGAATTTTCCGGCTGAAGGGGAACAGCAACCTCTTGACATAGTTGAGCCTCTGAGAGTAGAGGTGCCTCGACTAGAAGGGGAAGAAGAGGAAATTGTAGTCGAGCCCCTGAGAGATGAGCCCCAGAGAGAAGAGGAACCTAGATATAACCTTAGAGACAGGTCAACTCTTGCTCCCCCTAAGAAGTTCGATGACTACGTCTGCTTTGTAGGCACAGAAAACTTTCCAGAGAGCTACCATGAAGCAATAAGTAGAACTGACGGTGCGGAATGGCGGAAAGCCATGGCCAGCGAGCTTCAGTCACTCAAGGAGAATAATGTATGGACACTGTGCGAGCTCCCGTCTAATAGAAAGGCGCTACCATGTAAATGGGTTTTTCGGATTAAACGACACCCAGATGGAAGCATAGACAAATATAAGGCGCGATTGGTCGTTAAAGGGTTCAGACAACGGAAAGGGCTAGATTATGAGGAGACATATAGTCCGGTAGCCAGGATGTCTACCATTAGAGCTCTTTTAAGCGTTACTGCACAAGAGAAACTTCATTTAACACAATTTGACGTCGCGACAGCCTTTTTAAATGGGAAATTAGAGCAGGAAATATACATGTCACAACCTCCTGGCTTTTCTGATGGCTCTTCGAAAGTATGCAGGCTACAGAGGAGTCTATATGGCCTAAAGCAAGCTCCTCGTTGCTGGAACATGTGCATTGAAGACATTCTGTTGCAAAAAGGATTCACACAGAATGAAGCTGATTGTTGTCTCTTTACAAAGACAGAAGGAGGCAATAAGATTTTGTTGGCGTTGTACGTGGATGACGGACTCATGGCCACTACAAGCGAGGCTTTGGCAACTAAATTTTTGAAGGAGCTGGGACAAGCTGTCAAAATCACAAGCAAGCCGGCTTCGTATTACCTTGGCCTTGAAATAGAACGTTCCAAGGATGGATCTATATTTATAAGCCAACAAGCTTATACGCGGAAGATCCTCGAACGCTTCAATATGATTGACTGCAATCCCGTCTCTACACCAATCGAAACAGTGACTTCAGAAACAGGGAAAGCACCTGAGAAAAAGTTTCCTTATCGAGAGGCAGTAGGAGCCTTAGCATACCTGATGACAGGAACGCGCCCCGATATCGCGTATGCTGTTGGGGTAGTATCACGGAAGTTGGAGAATCCGACAGAAGCTGATTGGCTGAGAGTCAAGAGGATCTTCAGATACCTTAAAGGAACAATGTCCCATGGCATCAAATACAGTTCGGGTCCTTGCAAAGCTGT